TGAATATCTCGGGATCCAAGGCAGATAGCGAAAATTTCGTCATGACAGGTTTTGTAGAGCGGATTGAGATCTGCAAAAAGGGTCATTACGAATTTTTCCCCATCTCCCTTAGATTGGGAGATATTCCCCGAAAACTCAGCGAAGATTAATTCGTTCAAGTTGAATATAAATCACTACTCAATGGAATAACTCAATAATTAATTGCGAAATTGGTAAATGTCTCATCAATCTTTTCTAGAATGTGCGGAATAATAAAAAGAATCGAAAGCCATTTATCAATATATTTAAATGTCGTGAGCAATTCGTGCGATGATAATTATTCCCCTGTACTGGCATTCGCTCTCTAATTTTAGACCTCGATTAATTAAATCCACTAGATCGATTGGGATTAATTAAGCGTGTCGCGCGTGTGTGAGCTCCAGAGAGTTCTGTTGCCCCTGGTGACTACTAGATTCTCGGTATTCGTTTACCCACTGAAGCCGGTTTTCCAATGTTCACAGGTGCTAAATTCTTGTTATCTAGCGATTTAATACACATTTAAAGTACTCAGTGTGCATGTGAGGCCGAGGTCGGGGGCGGGAGGGGGAAGTACTTCCGAAGGGTTTGGAGTTTCTTTACCTCTGCTATCAACTCGCGGATATCATGGCCACTGGTAGACAGGGTGCAGCACTTTTTATCGACTCGTAAATTATGCGTCTGTGTTAATTAAATTAGAGAATTGAGTTTTTAGGGATTAAAGTGGTTATCTCCGTGGATTTGTCGTTTAGTGGTTATTGCACTCTCAAGTGGAGTATATTAAATTGGTGGAGGGAGTCTATGTGAGCACATCTGGGAGTGCATTTAATTATTTAGTTATCTGAATCGGACCTCACCCCAATGATGTGGTAAAACTGAAATTAGTAAAATGCATTTTTGAGGAATCGGGTCTACCGTGGGCCAATTTCTACTCATTTTACGATGATTTTGTTGTTTAAACTCTACAGGTTTAGAAAACATTTTAAGAATATGAGAAAAATGAAGTGAAAATATTGAAGTGAAATAATTAAAAAATTGCAATTTCTTAAAATTACGAGATTTTTCTATAAATTATTTATAAACAAGCAGTTTTCCCCCATGAAAATCATTTGTTCGGAATCGCAACAAATTTATTCATATTCAGAATTTTCCCAGAAGTCGATTTCATGCGTAAAAAATGAGGTTTTCGAAAGTTCAAACAATTTAAATTATTTATTTATAAACAACGCTGAAAGAATTATAATTCAGTGCAAAATGTAATTTCAATGACGCCGAATATGCCTGAATTTTTTCAAATTGTAAATGTTGTAAACTTCTTCAAGTGAATAAATCCGTGTTATTTAATTGTAAAATTTGTGTGCGTGAATTTATTCCTCGGGAGTCCAACAGATTTATTTTTTCAGGGTCCCTCCATTTCCCCAAAAATTGCCGCTCCACGTGCTTTATTCGATGATCACTAGGACCACAACTACATGAAAAGCCATTCTGACCCCATTATGGCTGTCTCTCGAGCCACCCCCTCGTCCCGAAATCGTGAGGACTGCACTTGATCCCAGTCATTGGAGCGTGAAGAAAAGTATACCGAGTGATCACACGGATCCTGGTGGTGCTGGAGTGTGAGGCACCCTCTCGTCAGTGTACACAGTCCCGGGCAAATCGGATGACTAATACAGCGCTGAAAGCCTGGGGTTCCTTGGCGTGCCAATATCGTTCTTGGCTCTGATACCCGGGGAGTTCCACCGCAGTCTGGCAATTGTGCGTGCGTAGAGATAATATTTACGGAGCAGACGAAAACTAATCGTTAGGTATGAAAGTGTCTTATTTTTTTACAGCCGATGAGTTGAAACCGACTACTAGGTAAACAGGGAAAGGAAATCACTGGAATTATTCGGTTTTTATTCACTCGAGGATCGCTTGACGTCTTGATGAACATCCCGGAGACATGTCGAGGTATTTCCGGTCTTTAACGATCATAAATAATCGTGAGTTTTGTTATGAGATGATTGCGCGATCTGTTCTCGTTCTTTTTCCTGGCGAATGGAACTGTTGTATTCGTCAAATCCGGAATTTTCTACTTTTTGTGACAGGATGACTCATTTTCGCCGCACGGTGTTGATTGATTTGTTGTTGAAGAAAATTATTTTGAAAACAAGATTTAGGGAAGAGTGAAAAATTTTAATGTTGGGGCAATGTTGAATTCAATGAATCATTAAATTCAATTTAACCTACACCGTCATCGAAATTCCATTCATACGCAAATCGTCAATTTATTAGAAAATATATTCCCTCCCCACTTGTTCATTAAAAAAAAAAGTCAAAAAATTCTCCATTTCGTTCTGTTCTATTACATTCCACCTCTCCAGTTTCACTCGGTAAAATTCGATATTTACCCCCCTGAACCCCCTCCAAACTCGTGCGAATAATTACAGTTAATGTTCTAGATGCCGTGCAAACGTTCAAATTTTCTAAGAAAAAATTCCACCTATTCGCGTTCTATTTATTCGCCAGCTCTTAATGTTAATCATCACCCCAGACGCGGGGAATTTCTATTCTGCGATGCATAATGGTCTCCACATCCAATTAACAAAACAGGCGAATTCATTAGAGATTCGAGTTTTCCTGCAATTGTTGAGTCCACGAGCGTTAATGGACGATATCATCGGGGCTACTTCCCACTGAGATTAAACACTCCGCTCATGTATTATTCATATTCGCGGTACCTGGACCATATCAGCCCACATGTGCAATTGAACTCGAGCATGTGTGTTGTATCATTGTTAGGTTTATGGTTGTACAGGGCTGTTATATTTTTCAAGTTCTTTTTTCTTAATTTTTCATCGCCGAGTACTCAAGTGTCTGTCAATGCTTTTTATGGGGCGCGGAGTGACGGGTACATTTACGAGAGGTCTCTGAGAATTTAAACGGTGAAGTGGTAATGAAGAAAGGGGGAGGGACTGCTTTTTCCCGGGTAACGAAGATGTTAATTTTTTTTTAATGCTGCAGCGAAAGGAATTCTCGTTGAAGTCCACGAATTTGGTTGACGTGGAATTGTACGGGGAATTGAGTAGAACTTTTCGCTTCCCTATTCTCCTCATTGTCAGGCGATTTGAATAGCATTTTTCTCTGAAGATCCGTTTCTAGTCGACTCTTTTATACATTAAAATGCCGGTTTACCCATTTTATCCATTAATTATTGATTAGAATGCCGGAAATCGTCGACAAAAGAGTCCCAACAGCTCGACAGCGTGAAAAATCGCTCTTTTTGTGACGAAATTCTACGACGGTGGAAGACAAGTCCGCACAACGGTTGCGGTCAATATTGACTCAGCGCTCTTGAGTGAAAAATTCACTGTCGTTTGAACGACGAAATTCCGCTCCTCGAGGGGAAACATATCCTCGACAAATATTTGAAGCTATTAATTTTATTTCATTTCACTTTTTTTCTGGAGTACGAGCGATCCAGGTTATTAAAAGGGGGAGAGTAAGAGGATTTTTATGGAGAATTCATGGGCATGGGGGGAGAATAACCTTCAGAGGAACTTGGAAAATGCTCAGCCGAGGTATTTCATATCCATTTTCATTAAAAAAATTATAATTCTCCGCGAATTTCAGGGATGAAAATTCAGTATCGTCGATGCTTCGTCGAATTAAAAACTTTTGATCATTTTTTTAGGGAAAATATTGAACAGGGTGGTGGGAATTATTTAGCACTTGATTTAGCCGAACATTTTGGACGTCAGTGGAACTATTCTTGAGAAAAGTTGACCCTGAAATTGAGTGGATTTAGCGGGCTTGACTGAATTTCCATTCACCTTCTTCCCCAATAAGCAAAATTCAATTCCCTCAGCCATAATTTATGTACATCTCACGCGGTAATATATCTATATCCACGAGAGGGTACGCAGACTCGGGTTATATAGATGTACCAACCGCGTTCGATATTGGATTCGCAGGTGAAGTGTGACGACCCACCGGGAAATTCCTTTCGCCCCGATGGCTACCATATTTCGATTGAATTCAGAGATGTACGTGATATTAAATCACACCGGCATCAAATTCAATAAACGCACCAGAAGAATGTATTCCTAGAATTGTGAGGAAAGCAGTAGTGCATTGAGGAGACTAAATTAGTCTATTTTATTCAGAATTTACGCTGTTATAAATTTTCGTCTGAATTTTTCGGGCCAAATCCCGGAAATTTTTATCGTGTTTAATTACAACTGAAATTTCAGGACATCTTGTCGGCGGAAAATCAAATATTCCATTGATTTTCTGTTCCGATGATCTGAAAATCAATAAAATACTGATTTTTCAAGTCAATTATTCTGCGAAAATTCAGAAAAATCAGGAAAATTTAGGGAAAAATTGAAAATTCGCGAATTTTCTTGAGTCCTACCTGAAACCTGAATTTTCCTAACAATTTTTCCCTTAAATCCGATTCAATATCCCTCTCTTGAGAATTGTTATCATATTTTCCATTAAATTAAAAAAAATTAACAGTGTACTCTTCACTAAAAATCCCTGAATCTAACCGACACAAACAAATTAATCGCGATTTTTTGTCATCAAAATCATCAGCCTCATCTTAAACCCGAATTTTCCAGGGACAATTTTCAAAAGACTGAAGCAAAAAAAATATTTAAAAAGTGCAATTGGTTGTCTAGGTTTGAAGATAGTTGCGGGAAACTATTTAAAAACGAATCCTTTTCTCAAAAACTATACGATAATTTCAGATTTTCGCATTTCAGATTTTTGAAAATTACTTTAGCCATTTAATTACCTAATTTTCTAGAAATTAACCACCGGGACATGCCCACCCAGACATGATCGCCAAACTTCGTATTTTACAGTTTCATGCCATTCTCCCTAATTCCCATCAAAATACCCAATAAATAATGAATTCTAAATAATTTCAAAGAATCCCAAAGTCGGAGAATTGCAAATTTCCATTCGGAAGCGAAAAATCCGTATTTGTTTCAACTCACCTCATCCTCCCCCACATTTTCCACAATATTCTTCTCTTCCTGCCAACAACCAGAATAAATCAGTCTTCAACACGATGTAATCGGCGTAAGTGACATTGACTAAAACATCGAAAACACTCGAGGATGAAAATTCAGAGAGTGGATTGATGCCACTCGTGTGCGTCCTGGTCCAACAGTTGCGCATCAAAGACTGAAGTCAGACGGTGCGAGGGCGATTTAAAAGTACGTGCAACGGAGCCCCACCGGAGTTTGCCGAACCCCTCCGATTGTACCGTTTTAAAACACCACCTATTTTACATCGCTGTTTTCGTGGTGAATTGTTATTACGTGAGGTGCATCGTTTAAACGTGAGTGATGCTGAGTGACTCTGGAATTATTAGTATCGCGAGAAAAAAGGCAAGTTGGGAGAGTTGATTTTCCTTTTGTTTTCCGCGCGTTCTGCGCTCAATTCGCAGTTGTAAAATTGTTAATTAGATATGGAGAGGGAGGTGAACTAGATATTGCCGTGAGTGATCGGCTTCCGAATTTTAGCGAATTTTATCGGTGATTGGATTAATTGGGCGAGGAGGGGAATCAATGGGGTGCCGGAGATATTTGCAATTCCGTTTGATATTGGGCGACTCAATTTGCTCCATTAGTGCCCCAGATACCGGGCGGAGAGGCGCGGGAGGGAAATTTTAATTCCTGTCTTGAGAAATTTCTTGAAATTTCAGTCACAACTGCGAACTTTCGTGTTAACCAATCATTGATTTTTCAATGAGAGCTGGAATTTCCAAACTCATCGTGAAAATTGAACACATGCAATTAAATTTACAATAGATTGAGAATTCAGAAAAGTTGTTGCCTGAATTTCCAAAATTTTTAGGGCTTTTCAGAGTCGTGTGGACCTGAAAATTGAGAATTACTTGAATATTCAAGAAATTAACAGCTTCATGTAACTTTGTCGTTGTTAAAAGTTCAAGATTTTTCACTTAAAATTTTTAGAGTAATTTTCTAACAGTGCAGGAGGAGTTTTTCACTTGGCATTTCCCTGACTTTCGAATGAACCTGTTAAAATCGACGTTTCACACCTTTTTCTAGTTGACTATTGAGAGAATTAATAGCATAAAGGAGAGAATGGGAGCAAAGGCGTTGGTGAATGAAGGCATTGTCAAGGAATGTGATTTCCAAATACCTCAGCTCTTCATTGCCTTCAATTCTCTCAAAATCAATCCCCCATGGAAAATTAAACATATTAATTTATATTTCATGTAACGTTTACACATAAGTCAGGCCAATTCCGTAGATAAAACATATAATTTCCAGATATAATATAATTTTGAATTCTTAACAACGAAATTACGTGAAATTTGAATGAGCGAAAAATTCCCAGAAGTTCACGGGAATTTTTAGCCAAAAGAAGTTTGCCGAATGAAATTGAAAAATCTTTTCTGAATGTTAATTAATGAATTGTTGAAAACCCCTTGATGTAATGGACCAGAAAATGCGATTGCCCATGCATACGTGACATTTAGATCCCCAGACTGACAAAAAAAACTAGCATTTGGAACGGATATGCTAGGACGCAGACCTGGAGGTAAATGGGCCATGCTATTCATTTGTTGTCCGCCGTAAGCCCCCGGCAATACACAGTAAGGACAACTTCCTACTGCGTCTCGGGGCATGAGACACGACTCGAGGAATAAATACAACCGGCGATATTCCCACAATTCGATCGCGCGTGCCTTCGGTGTACATACCGGCGTAAAACCCCTGTAACGGAGAGTTAGAGACCTCTCGGCAATTCACATCGGCTCTGGCCGAGTGCCTTTGCACACCGGTACAGGGATTCAATTGATACTACTGTGGGTGCTAAGTATCCCGACAACGCAACCTGGTTCTCTGATTTTTTTTCCCTTTTTTTTTACCTTTTTTGATTACTTGTCAACGAATAGTAATCGAAAAGTCGTAGTCCCACTCCAGAGACGCGAAAAATTTATGAAATGCAAAATTCATTTATTCATAATCTATTGCGAATAAAGTAAAACGAATGCTTAAATTTATTGTTTGAAATGCAATGAACATTCCTATTCCAAAAAGAACATACGCTCATTCCTCGAAAGATTTTTTTTTTAGATTTTCAAAGGGTCAGATTTTCCGTTTTTCCAGGGGGAAAGTCGACTTTCGCCAAAATCGAATTTTTTAGCCGGGTGAACGTTGATTCCAACTATTTAAGCGACGGGCTATTCAGAACTCTCAAAAGTATGTGGAAAAAGTGAAAACTGAAAAAGTTTTTTTTTTTTTTCGACTCCTTCGAGAAATTGAAGGAGTCATCAAAGTGAAGCGATTTATTTAGTTCCACACCTTTGAAAAATCGTAAAAAATGTTCTGTAAGACGTTCTTAGAGGGCGATTGTACAGGGAATGGTTAAAAATTTAAAGAAAACTTGTAAAAAATGAAATGACGAGTACCTCGAAATTAATTATGATGAAAACAGTGAGAAATGGGTTTATTCACTCCACGGTGATTACCTCAACTTGTTTAATTAGTGTAAAATGATGAGAGATTGAGAATGCTCTATTTTCAAGCCTTTTTTATCATCTCCATTCATGAAATTTCCCCTCAATTACCACCGGAGAGGCTCGCAATCCCTCGCCATCAAAGAGATGAAGAATTGCCGCAATTAAAATTTCCCTTTTCCACTATTAGTTTTCACACGGGGATTTTTACTCACATCTCCACTTCCCTCTCACAATCGCGTTTTCCTCATTTCCGTGTGTCTGACGTGGTATTTACACGGCGGAAAATAAAACATAATGAAAACCCTTATGCATCATAAATTTTAATAAACTCTTATCTTTTTTCATTCTCCGGCTCAATTTTTTTATCGTTAAAAAATGCTGCACTGAAGAACTTCTCTGATGAAACGAGATCGTGATATCGGGGCGTTGAAAAGCCGAGGGCTGTGTGAATAACAAACATTCGAGTCAAGAAAAATAATGGAGATTGGGTAACGAAGTGGTGAAACGAGATGGATCGACGCAAACTTAGACCGGAATGCTTGCAATTTTTGAAAATTACGAGCATTTTCTATAAATAATTTATAAACAATCAATTTTTCATTCAATTCATTCACATTCAGAATTTTTCCAGAAACTGATTTCATATCTAAAAAAATATTAATAATAGTTTCCGCAAGTTGAAACGATTTCAATAATTTATTTATGAACAACGAATGTTTTTAAAAATAATCGTTATGTGCAAAATATAATTTGAATAACGCTGAATATTCGTGATTTTCTTCAACGTTTTCTACCGTAATTTAATTGATTAATTTGATGATTGAAAATGGTGGAATCGATAGTGTCCTTGAACGAATTTTTCCCTGAAATCCACATGAATTCAACCAGAAAGCCCTAAATTTGACCCCAACGGCACTAGGATTTTTCTGAAGAATTTCTCCGCACAGATTTACCAAAACAAAATTTTTTATTCAGACGAATGTCCCCAGTCCAGAGGATGCCAACGAAATTGGGAAATAACCGAAGACACCCAGGTGGCATCAGTTCAACCCACACCTCCAGCGATACATTCCGTTACTCTCCCAGTGTCGTAACGAGGATTTAAAAGGATTTGGAATTCAAGAGGCGTAGTGCGCACCGCAGGCCTGTTAAACTCCAAATCCCAACATTTTTCGAAATGTCTCGAGATATGAATCTGTCCCCGGCCCGCGGGATCCCTCCAGATGAACCCCAAATCCTCCTTTCGCCGCGGTATATTAATCAGATAAAAAAACCAACATCAATTTAGTCTAAAATACGCTGTCAGGATGTCAACACCACGTCATATTTGACTGAACAATTTTTTTTTATTCCCTGGACTGCGGCATCCGATCAATCCGTAATGTCCCGGGTCTTTCATCGGCTTATTATTCCATAGAGGGGGGCTACGCCCCCTGCTCGCCCCGCTTGCGTCATATGACCCCCATGACCCTTATTCTGGCCCTTATTTTGACCCTTAATTTTGGAGTCTTAATTTCGAGTACCAAATTGTCATCAGAAGTCGATTTGGATTTTTATAATATAGAGAGATATTCTGAGCCTTGTAACCCTTATGACCTTTAATCTGACCCTTGTGACCCTTATTGTGACCCTCTTGAGCCTTAATCTGACTCCCGAAACCCTTTTTTTGACCCTGATGACCTTTATTCTGACCTTTGCGGCCCTTAATTTTGGAGTCTTACTTTCGAGTACCAAATTTTTATCACCAGAAGTCGATTTGGATTTTAATAACGTAGAGAGATATTCTGAGCCTTGTGACCCTTATGACCTTCAATTTGACCCTTGGAACCCTTATTTTCACCCTCGTGAGCTTTAATCTAACCCTCATGCCCCTCATTTTGCCCTTTACGGCCCTTAATTTTGCAGCCTCAATTTCTACCAAATAACTACCAAATTTTTATCACCAGCAGTCGATTGGGATTTTTATAATGCAGAGAGATGACCTGCAGTCTGACCCTTATTTGGACCCTTAACCTGACCCTTATAACCCTTGTAACCCTCATTTTAACCCTTGTAGGCCGTACTGTTGGAGTCGAAATTCCGAGTACCAAATTTTCATCACCAGAAGTCGATTGGGATTTTTATAATGCAGAGAGATGACCTGCAGTCTGACCCTTATTTGGACCCTTAACCTGACCCTTATAACCCTGGTAACCCTCATTTTAACCCTTGTAGGCCGTACTGTTGGAGTGGAAATTCCGAGTACCAAATTTTCATCACCAGAAGTCGATTGGGATTTTTAAAATGCAGAGAGATGACCTGCAGTCTGACCCTGATTTGGGCCCTTAACCTGACCCTTATAACCCTTGTAACCCTCATTTTAACCCTTGTAGGCCGTACTGTTGGAGTGGAAATTCCGAGTACCAAATTTTCATCACCAGAAGTCGATTGGGATTTTTAAAATGCAGAGAGATGACCTGCAGTCTGACCCTGATTTGGGCCCTTAACCTGACCCTTATAACCCTTGTAACCCTCATTTTAACCCTTGTAGGCCGTACTGTTGGAGTCGAAATTCCGAGTACCAAATTTTCATCACCAGAAATCGATTTAGATTTCTGTACTATATCGAGGAATAAACGAAATAATTAAAAAATGAAAACCTATCTGCACTATCCACTAGTCCGGCGCCTGCATCACCCCAGTAGCGATACAATCAATCCCTGAAATTTACATATGTATTTATCATCATTTCTACCATTTGAGAATTTATGTCTTGGGGATATGCGACGAGAGCATGAGATAAGATGGCCTTACAGTTAACGTGGTCTCTGGTGCAATGAACTTGACTAGTTGTGCCGTGAGAGGGTTGGCGAGAGAGGAAGGCGTAGGAGCCCAACAACCAGAGGTATAATACAGAAGGAAGACGTTGTCCCGGCGGGCCAACGCCGTGTGGCTTGCGGTCACTATTCATATTCGTGCTGGGCATAACACACAACATCCACTCGTACATTCGCGCATTACGGTCTTGACCGTGAACACTGGGTATACATCCCTCTTGACGGCGCATTGCAGACTCTTTCCTCCAGTGTTTACGGTCTCGTTGGGCGATAGGTGCTAATTCATCGTCGGCTTAGGCGACTCGGAGGATTTAGACGCGGTTTTTCAGGCGACTCGCGGCATTTTTAGGACCTCAACCGCTGGATAGTTTTTCAAATGAATTGGGCTCTTAAGGATGGAAAGCAACTCCTGAGGGCGTTACTCAGGATTGAGGAGGGAGATTGCGAAGATTATGGGAGTGGATTGTTGCTTTTTGGGAAATTAAGGGAGTCGGAATGGACTGAGTTGAATTGTTGAGGGGGACAGGTATTTTTCAAGTATTTTACGTTGAATTCGATGCCATAAATCTTATATTGAACTCCTGAGAAGGGGCCATATCCGTAAATTATAATTACCGGTAAATTATTAAGCAGTCAATTCGTTGATATCACTCTTGAATTTCAATTACTGAAGTAATCATCAATTTAAATATTCAAATTCTGAATTATTTGTTAATCAGTTATTTAATTGGGGAGATTGACGATTATTTGGATGATCGAAAATCCCTTATAAAAAGTTTTGCATTATTTACGTGATAAAATATTTAGAGTGCTATATTATAAAATATTTAATTCATCGTCAATTGGAAATTTAGATTATCGATTATTTTACTATTTTTTAATTTCGATAATCGGAAGATTGATAGCCATTCCTTCTGCTGAGGCCAAAATTAGTTATCCTTGGCACAAAAAATTGTAAATTTCGGATTCGACGAATACAATGCTTCCATTCATAAGCAAAAAGCCAAAAAATACTCATTATTGACGAGAATGGTTCTATTCCCCCCAACTCTCGTTTAGAATTTATTTCCGATTCTAATCTTGAAAATTAAAGTTATGTTTATGCTACTTTAATACCTGAGAAAAAGAGAAAATTCTTTGAAATGCGGAGGAGTCTCCAGGGAATATCTTCGATGGAATTAACTTTATCGTTTCCCGCCCATTCACAGTCGCCTCGTAATAAATAATTGAACATCTAATCATCATCGACAGCAGCTGCATTCATACAAATTCATCCAGTTAACCACATCAGGAGGCCTTTCATCGTAATAACACAGGAATGATAAAGCAAAAATCGAGGGGATAATGAAATCAACGGATAGAAAAAGATCCGTGAAACCCGAGAACGTGCACGTGCCATCTTCCCCGGCGATGTTACGGAAAAACTTGAGGTTCGTTTCAATAGCATGAGTATCAAAATATCCACTCATCTGGTTGTTTAATACGGAAATTCGATGATTAGTGTGCCCATGCTAATTGGCGATGTTTACCTCGTTCAAGTGCTCCCCATTTACCAACATTAAACGTCTGTTTATTTTAAGTGATTGCATTTCGTTAATTTAATTTTATTTTGAGGGCCCACGATGTCCCGTATATCCACGGTCAAAGCTACCGTGGAGCGGGTGAATAGACACTGCCTTTTATTTTATATTCATTTACTGCGCCGTCACCACACTGTTTTTTGTATTCTCTTCTGTAAATCTATTTTTGCCCTTAAAGACAGTTGAATAATAAATAATTAAAAATATTCAATCGTCAAATTAGCCAATTAAATCGCGTGAGAAAATTTGGAAAAAAATCATAAGTATTCAGTGTCTTTCAAATTACATTTTGCGCGGAATTATTATTTTTTTAAACATTCGTCGTTCATAAATAAATAATTGAAATTATTTAAACTTTCGGAAATTTCATTTTTTTAGGCATGAAATCGATTTCTGGTTAAATTCTGATTATGAATAAATTTGTTGAGTCCGACCAACTGATTTTTATGCCGGCAAATTGATTGTTCATAAATAATTTATGAACAATCAATTTTCCACCATAAGTGTGATTTATTTATTATTTATTTACTATAAACAATTATCAATTATTATTTATTTACAAAGAACGAATATTTAAAAAAATAATAATTCTCTGCAAAATGCAATTCAATGGACAAATTCGCTACTTGAATAATGGATATCCTTAAGGTCATGCGATACCTCGAAATCTACAAGAATTTCCGTAAAAGATTTGCATGAAATTGGCGATCGGGGAATCCCAGGAAATTCGGCAGTGCACTTCGGCCGCTTCTACGACTCCCGAGACAGTGGCAAGGACATCCTCCTCGGGGGAAGGTCAAAATTCACTGGGCAGATGCTCCACAAGTGAGTGGGAATTATCCTAATTAACAATTGGGGATGGGCGATTCCACGGAAGAGGCAAAAACTCAACATCCGGTGGATTAATTTAGATTGGAGAGCCTCTCGAGGACTAAGAATTATTCAAACGAAGTGGCTGCCATGATTAGGACTGTTTCAGAGCCTCCAAATTTCTCGGTAAATAATAGGGACAAGTGAAACTTGACATGATTTTTTTTTTCGTCAATAGAATTTTTTTTCTCCGGGGGAATATTTCGATGTCTGTTTCCGGGGGATTTTTCGCGGGAAAAAAAAAACCCGAGAACTCACATCTGATAAGATATTGCAAATGGAAATGTTGACGCCAGAAAAAATAAAAAATTGCGCAATAAAATTCCGCTGACGTAGTTGATGAAGAAAATTTTTTCCCATTCCACGGAAGATGCGAGTGCCACCCAGAGATAATTACCCAGCAGCCGGGATCCACCGAGTCGCCTATCCGCTCTGGTACAAAGAGCCCAACGCAACAACCTGAGTCGTTCCAATAGTGTCCCAACACGCCCCATCCGCTGGGTTAGTATCAGCCAAGTAATTCGCACGCGGCGGCCTCCCCACCTCCCCCCGAGACCATGCGATATTCATGATGCCATCTTATTCCATATTATTCATGAAAGTGTCATTCATTTTTAAACATCTCCTTAGATGGGCCAGAGTGGCCGCAGGCGGAGATCTCCCATGGATAAGTGCGATCTCGTTACTGAGGGCCCCAATGGCAGACGCATTTCTCGGAAAATATAACGAAGAATTTTTTATGCATATGACGATGGAATTGTGCTATTCACCATGCTGCAGGGAAAAAATTTGGGAATACAGTGGTTCAATGTGACGATGCAGAATAGAATTGTTAATGTTTGCATTCAATTCGGAATGCCCAGAAGTCTATTTTTATATTTTTGCATTATTCTCGGTTTTCGGACGCTAAAAAATTCAATTGAACCGTCTAATAACTAACTTTCTTGCTCGGAAAGTCTTCGATCACACGCGCAGCCCAATTGCACCACCATTATGAAGTAAAATCAGTAATTATATTAAATAACAGGGTGAGGGGGATATATCACTCGGACGTCATCGTCAAGAACCACAATTTCTCGAGCACAATACCTTGTTTATTTCTCTCTACATGTAGATATAAAATATACTGTATCGACAGAACGGAAAATTAAATAAATTCCCCAATTGATTTACAATTTTTTTCAGTTACAATTTTTTTCAGAATGGAACTGCTGATTTTTACACTCAATTCCTGGCGAAATTTACGGTCTTTCCAGGCCCTTGGGAATGCCCAGAAGTCCACTTTAATATTTTTGCATTATCCTCGGTTTTCGAACGCTAAAAAATTCAATTTAGCCGTCTAATAACTGACTTTCTTGCTCGGAAAGTCTTCGATCACACACGCAGCCCAATTGCACTGGCATTGTGAGGTAAAATCAGTAATTATATTAAATTGCAGGGTAAGGGGGGTATATCACTCGGACGTCATCGTCAAGAACCATAATTTCTCGAGCACAATACCTTGTTTATTTCTCTCTACATGTAGATATAAAATATACTGTATCGACAGAACGGAAAATTAAATAAATTCCCCAATTGATTTACAATTTTTTTCAGTTACTCGCCCCTTTGAATCCGCTTCAGTCGTAGACAGTTGATTGCTTCGGTCCTTCATGTTCTATCTCCCATTTATTATCCACACTTCCTCCTTTATTCTCAACATGATACCTAGATTCTATTTACAGTTCGTCTTATCATCGATAAAGAGTGAGAATGAATTCAATAGTGTAGTGACAACACAAGAAAAATCAAATAACACCAGAGTTTTGAGGAATGTCTCTGAATCCTAGGGATAAACTCAACTTTAGGATTCGGTTTTAACGTTAAATAACCCGCACTGCAGTGGAGATTTTCGAATTTTTCATGAAGATCTCTCTCGAAGCCCTCAAAATTCTCTACAAGACGATATTCACGTTAACAGTTCTTCACAAAAGAATCACATCTTCAAATTCTGAGGTTTTTAAGAACTAATTGAACTTCATTTACAAATTCCAAAGACCAGAGTCGCCTTAATTCCACAACTGAATCAAAATCATCACCAAAATCACTGAATTATCCGCAATTGCACCATCAGCACTGATGAACACAAGTCTCTCTTCATTTCCCACAGAAAGGAAGATCATTTTTTTCCCAGAAAAAAAATCTCCAAACGTCTCAGCGATTTTTGATTGATCTCGCTCTCCACAAAAATCGTTCCACACCTCCACAACGAAATGATAAAATTTATTTAGAATGATTTAACCCGGAGCATGATGTGACTAGCCGATATCCGGTGGTGGCTGAGGCCTTCCCTAGGTCTTCTTCCACGAGTAGAAGATCTCGAGAGGTCTGTTGACACGCCAGAATTTGTCGTTCACTTGTCTCAAAGTTTGGGAACCACTCAGGACGACGTATTGTCCTGGGGATGGCGCGATGTAAATGCAGAAGTTCAGGAGTCGATCGGATTCTGATAAATCCGTGTCTGGGTCGAGGGTCAGTCGCATCGCAAGGTACTTACTCAGGTGATCGACTGAAAGAAAGAGCAAATGGAAATTATTTCGAGTAAAATTTGAGGGATGGAATGACTTTTTTGAAATGAAGGTGAAAAGAATTGCAATTTCGATAGTTCGGCCTTGAGAGAAATATTCAATTTATATTTAAATGAATAAATTGGAGAAGAATTGTCTTATTGAGATAATTTAACATTAGATAATGAAGATGCTCCTCACCTGTTGCATTAGCAGTGGTCTTGATATATCTGACACTGTTCTCCCTGAACGCCTTGATGAGTGAGTTATCCCCAGCCATTTCAGTGGGATGTGGCTTGAACACGAGCTCTATTTCGTCCAGAGTTGAGGGCTCACTTGGGCCCTCGCCCTCAGTATCCACCATCGAATCACCACCTCCAGTCTCAGCTTCAGCACTCGACGAGTCATTCTCCGAATTTTGCAAGCTCTTCTGTCGCTTTGGGGGCTTGGGTATCTGATTCGCTGGGTTTGGTGATGGTGTCGTTGAGTTTCTAGATGTTGTCCCTAAAATCAAAAATTTATTTCACTGCAGGGAATTCCCCCTGAAATTCATTTATGAAAAATGAATTTTAAAATTATTCTATCAATCTTCCTCCAAAAGTAAACTTCCTAATTTTTTATTCGGACTTTTAAATGTTTTTTAAAGGTTCAATATCGAGCTTTCGATTCGCACCATCATCATAGTTTAAATAATAAAATCATTGGATATCCTTAAACTGTTGAAGAGCAGAAATTTACCTGAAATGGCTGGACTGCTGGCTGGTTGTGACACACTGTTGGAGTTCTGTGACCCTGAATTATTAGCTCCACTATTGAGAGCGGTTGGACCCTGCGACGAGTCGCTCTGATTGGCAACATTAGCTGCTGGATTGGGTGTCGCTGGAGCACTGACATTGGGTGTGTTATTGTACGAAGGAACATTACTGGTATTCTCCGGTTCATTGGCATTTTTCCTCGACCTCTGAGGCCTGTTCTGACTCTGGAGTTTAATTCCCTCAGTGATTGAGTTAACTAGAGCTGCTTGCGAGTGGGATTTATTCAATTTGGCGAGGACTCGCTCCTGATGTGCCTCATACTCGTCACGACTCGGGTAGATCTTGGATATCAGCAGGTCGAAGTTGGGATCTGGTCGGAGGGAGCGTTTTGATACGAGCTTTTTCCTGCAGGTTGGACATTCCTAGAATATTCATCGGGGGAATTAGGAGAGTTTGATGGTGAAGTGATTTTTATGATGCTTCATTTTAAAAAAAAACAACCGAGATCACGTTCGAATCACTCCTCTATTAGTCACGAAAATAATCCTCCACCCCAGCAAATAAAATAAACACAGAGGAGGGTAGGGTAAAATGGACGCTATTTTTTTTTCTAATGTTCACACCTCAATCACGAATTTATCAATTGAAGTGAGTCTAGCTCCCCCACAAATGGGGGAAACAATACCAAATTTAATTGAAAATTAAAATTAAATGTCAAGTGTACATTTTCCCATTGGCCCCCACTCAAGGTTATTCCGAAAATAAATAAACATCTTCCCACGAGTGACAGTCACTCCACAACACTGACCCTCTCGTGCCTCCGATCCCTCCGCCCCCGAGCGATAAAGAAAATGACGAAAACCCTCCGGTACAGTCACCCCGAGTGCAATCGAACGTAAACAAACCGCTGAAATACCTTGTTTCCACTCCGCAGTGCCGTGATAATACAATCCGAGCAGAAGCGATGTAGACACTCCTTGGTGGTCATTGTTTTCTTGAGCATATCCAGACATATCGGGCACATTAATTCACTGTGCAAACTCCGCGGACTAACTGCAATCTCCGTATTATCAATAATCGGCTCTTGGGACTGTCTGTGGAGCTCGTAGAGCGACAATTCCCAATTTTTATTCAATCCAACCTGCTCGGTGGACGCCATTTTGCTTCTTTGCGACGCGATTGCCCACCGAGAGCATAATTTCCTGGACGGCGCGCCTTGTGCGCGTGCGCGTTGCCTTGTGCTCTCGTGTGCTCGTGCGTCCTCGTGAGCCTATGACTCTGTGTTCACTTTGACCGTTACACGGTAAAATAATATCGACTTTTTTTTGTTCAAAAAAAGTATCCATCCAATTACTTACGGCATAGATAAAATGTGAAATTAAATATAAAATCATCATCAATAAAAATTGTGTGGCGAGAATCATCACAAGGTTTAAGCTTTTTTAAGGCCCATCATGACAACAATAATAACTCAACGCGGCATCCATCCGGGAGCCAACCAAGTCAATAATAATATAAAATTATTGGTCAATAGATTACCCCCTGTGATCCTTGGGGCAGACGTGGGGGTTCCGAAGTCTCCCACCTTCGAATCCTAACGCTCAACTCCGATGGTAAACGTTTCCCCGTCGACGATTACTGCTGTGCCTACTATAAATACGTGTGTCGAAATCGCGAAAATTCGTGGGTTAACCTCAATTCTCACCGGTGTTGACGTGCAGGAGCACTCCAATTAATCGAAAATAGGGAAAATCATCCTGAATTCGTGAGTATAAATATATTCTGAGGGAGAAATAGTCAAGGGGAGTTCCTGAAATAAACACGGTCCCTGGAAATTGTATTATTGGATTTTGTTGATCGTTTTGATAAGATGAAAAATGCGGTTTTCATAGAATTTGTTTGCTCGCAGAGCAGTTATTGCTTGGTTTGTTATTTTAGTTTGTTTCGCAAGGAAAGGTAAATAATTACTAATTAATTATTAGTTATTTAATTGATAATTATTGATAAATATTCCAGTTTTTTATATTAATCTTGAAGCATTTTGACGTGTATTAGGTCGGAAAGTGGTTGCTATAAAAGAATTTAACCTCTGAGCTATCAGACTTATGTTAGTAACGTGGATGCCCATGTAAATGTACGGGACCCCCCATTCTACGGTTTTCCTTCTAAAAGCGGTTTAAAAAAATGTTAATTATAAAATTTAAAAAAAATGTTCATATAAACAGCATCTTCTTGTTGATTTCAATTTCTTTTAGTAATAAATGACTGATTAATTCGGTTTCCCCGCAAAATTCTTTCGAGTAATTTTATCCTCTAATTATCGATATTCCGTAGAATCTAGGTACTTCACGTATGAGCAATATTTGCAGCGTTTTTATTTTATACTAGAGCCCCACTACCAGCCTCTTCAAATCACGTCCCCCTTTTAACTCGAGCCCTTCTCAAAATCCAGGAAATAAGTGGCAATGGCCTTCACCCCCCGCGCTCGGGGGCTCCCCCAGAGCTGTGGATTATCCGAAAATCAGCGAGGGCAGGCCTTCGGCAACGAGCCACCTCGGAGAGCGCTCCTCCCGACCCCCTCAGCTGCCCCCCAGGGCATCTTCATGGCTCCAACGAACAGCATGCAATACTCGCGAGTAGTATCCCTTCCAGTCGAATCAACGCGCAGGGGTCTCTTGCCCACCCCTCCGGTCTTAAACCTCAATCTCCCCAGCGCCAATCCCCTTCACAATAACATGTCCCCTCACAGGGGTCTCCTGCCGTTGCCCTCAGTCGCGAACCTCACGTTCGCACCCAACATTCTCCTCCAAACCTCATCAGCCCGATCTTACCCCGACGAAGCTCCTCGCAGGGCTCTCCTCCCTGCGCCCCCCGCCGCCAGAGCAGAAGAGAAAGGCGACGACCCTCTCGTAAAATTCCCAGGGCGCATCGTGTGCACGCTTTGTCAGCAAGACGACTTTCCAGATTCCGTCAGTGCCTTAGCTCACTTGTCCTCAGAAACCCATCGTAACAATCTGTCCAAACACCGGAGGCCCCGAAGCCCTGAGCCACCCCCCAGAGCCTTCGACCCTCCTCGCATCGACTTGGAGAACCTACCAGAGGGCATCGAAACAATGCCAACGAGGAACTACTTCCTCTGCACAATCTGCAACACCAAAATTCGTCCAAATTTCATCGACTCTCACGTCGTCACAATCGACCACCGATTGGGTGGCAAGAAGGTCATCCACAGGCTGAGTGCCTTGGAGTTCAAGTGCATCCTCTGTGATGTCATTATCGAGGGCCACATTGAAGTGAGGATGCACTTGAAGAGCGGAGCTCACATGACGAGGAGGAACCTCTCGCTGGATCCAGAATTAGTTGCCTTGAAAAGATCGTACGATTTGCCAGACGGCATCGTGAGAACAGAGAGTGACCAGTGGTTCTGGTGTTCGCCGTGCTCATGCCCGTTGAAAGCAGCTCATGCGGTAGCGGATTTGCATGCGGACAGATCGGCACACAAGGAAAATTTGGCGGCTTGGAGAGGAAGGAGTGTTGATAAATCAGGGAAATGGTTTTCAGACGGAAGACGAGATCACGAGGGGCAGCATAATCCATATCCATCATCCTCGTCAAGAGAGAGAGATGAAGCGTATCGACCAAGAGAACGAGATTACGAGACAATGAGACAGGCAGTTTCCACTTCTGGATCGAGATCTGAAGGGTACAGTTCCCCGAGTAATTTCCACTCATTCTCGTCGAGAGGTCGAGATCAGGAGGCGACTAAACCCTCAACGTCTGAAGAATATTACGCCCTTCCAACTCTGTTTCCATCGTGTTCATCGACAGAGGAAGTCTATCCACCTGCGCAAGGACGTGATCGTGAGGCGGAGAGGTCATTTTCCGGACCCCAGGTCTATCACAATCCTCAGAATGATTTCCCGTCTTCATCGAGAAGTCAAACTCATTCGTCAACTCGAGACCAGGATCGCCAGACGATTGGATCAAGACCCGAAGGATCTCACAATCCTTCAAATCATTTCCCACCGAGAGAAAGAGACGAGGCAAATCCGCCACGAGGACGAGACCACGAGGTGATGAGACTCTCGACATCAACTTCTCGATCGAGACCCGAAGGATCCCACAATCCTTCAAATCATTTCCCGCCGAGAGAAAGAGACGAGGCAAATCCGCCACGAGGGCGAGACCACGAGGTGATGAGACTCTCGACATCAGCTTTTCAATCGAGACCCGAAGGACATCCCAATCCGAGTAGTTTCCCATCGTCTTCGTCGAGACGAGCGGACGCCGTGCCGAGACCATCGTCACCACTCGACGACAACGACGAGGTCCCAGACATCAACAACTTCCCCTGCGAGGTCTGCAACTGCATAATCACCGGTGGCTACTTCAGCATTCTACAGCACAGGGAATCCCTGGAGCACCGAGCCAAGGAGATGGGGTCCTGCGTCGTCCCACCACGCGACGAAAGCCTCCCCGAGGGAATCGAGCGCCTGAGGACCCGCAAGTTCCACATATGCACGATATGCGGCTGCAAGGTGCCCCCGTACATCTCCATCGAGAGGCACGTTGCCACCCAAGTTCACCAGAGCAACGGCAAAAACGTCTTCACGAGACTCGGCGAGAAGTACTTCCATTGTACCGTTTGCGGTGTCACCCTGACGAACTGGAGACGCGCCCTTGTGCACGTGAAAAAGGGAAGGCACATTGAAAAGAAGATGAAAGCGGGCACTGGTGGTCATAGATTTACCCTGAAGACACCGAGACCCTACGAGAACCGTCAGCAACTTCCGGACGGCATTCAGAAGATCACGAAGAGGAGATTTAAGCGCTTAGTATGCACCACCTGCGGCTGCAGACTCAAACGCTCGGTGGCAATGGCCGATCACCTCGACAGTATCGATCACAAGATGAATGGATCGAATGTCATCCTGAGAATAGGAAAGACAAAGTTCAGGTGCAAAGTTTGCAATTGCATTCTGCACACTATTGCGATGGCACTGCGACACGCGAAGGAGATCGCGCATCTGGCGAAGAAGGCCGAAAAAATGCCGGAGGAGACGGCAATGTTGAAGATGATGTACCAAGTGCCGGAGGGAATTGTCAAGTACCCGCATAAGCGGATTTACTGGTGCCGGGTGTGTCGGATCGTAGCGGGGACCAAGTTCTTGGATGCGAGTAGTCATGGGAAGGATGAAAGACATCGGAGTAGGCTGGAATCTTACAGGAAGAATCCTAGGGGACATGGGGAGGACGTTCCGGAGGATCTGGATAATTATCAGATTAAGGATGACGAGTCGGAGGATGGAGAGTCCTTGGACGAGGCTGAGGTGGGGGGAGAGGGGTCTTCGGTTTCGGGGGAAGACATCGCGGATGAACTATCGCTTGATGATTCTAAGAATTATGAGGCGGAGGGACACGTGTCTGGGGAGGAGGTTCACCCGGAGGAATTCTCCATCAATGATTTCATCGTCACGGATGAGTGTTATGGGTCTGATGATGGGGGGGCAGGACGGGATGAGGTGAGGGAAGGGAGGGGGAGGCGCGAGCGGGAGAGGTCTGGGGAGAGGAGTAGAGAGGGGTTCTCCAGGAGCCGAAGGTTCCCGGAGGGAATTATTCAACTCCCTGATGAAGATTCTCTTCTGTGTTTATTCTGCAACTGTGCGATTGATTCTCGTTCGTTGGAGGATCATCTCGATAAGAAGGAGCATCGAGGGAGGGTGAAGAGGGACATCACTCGACTCGGTAGAAACGAGTATGAGTGCAATACTTGTCGGCTTCGTTTGTACCATGCTAGCAATGTTAATGAACATTTAAGGGGCAAGACGCACCGGAAAAATGTAGCAGATTTTTGGGAGCAAGGGAAGGGGAGGGATCGACGGGAGGACCTTGAGGGGCCGGCGGGACGAAGTAAACGGAGGAGGAGGGACGAACCACGTTCCGAACAATCTGAAGGACTTCGAGATTAAGGATGATGAGTCCTTGGCTGAGGCTGAGGGGGAGGAGAGGGATCTTCGATTCCGGGGGAAGACGTTGCGGGGAACTATCGCTTGATAATTCTGAGAATGATGGGGGGGAGGGACACGCGTGTGGGGAGGAGTTTCATCCCGAGGAATTCTCGATCAATGATTTCATCGTCACGGAAGAGGAACGAACGAGAGAGGCCTGGGGGAAGAGTGAAAAGGGATGGAGAACCCAGAGGGGAGGTTCTGAGGATGTTTTCCTCATTCGTCTGATACTTTTCTTCTGGTGAATAGGGTCGAGGAGCTCATTATCTTAATCCTTGCATTAATATTTATTTCGAAATTTTCCCTCCAGGTCATTTTGCTGATCTCGGCTAGTTTAACGGCCTCAATGAATTAACACAAAAAAATCCATTTATTATTGCCGTTTCGAGTGGTAAATCTCACTCGTCATCAGGGCAATTCATTTATTTCCATCTATTTTAACGAATCACTGCCACCAGTGATTCTGATTTGAAAAATATTATATGATTCAAGGATTTTTGTGTAGAATTTGATAAATATTTCATTCCTACCTATTTAAAAAAAAAACTATTTTCTCCAAAAATGGCCTGAAGGAGGAGAAATTTTGAAATTAATGCAGGCGGTTGGAAAAATAATTCAGTTAGCATTAATATTTATGTTACATAAGTAAAAAAAATGTAAGAATGATATTGCGTATGTGAGTGTATGCATCACTGTGTTCTGCAATTTTTTGTGTAAAAAAATTCACTGAAAGAATAACTCGATAATGGCGATGCAATTTTATTGAAATGTTACATTCATATTTTGACATTTCATTATCTGCTTCATTGCTCCTTAGTGAATAAACTGAATGTGAAGTACGCATTTATATTCAAATTACTTGGAGGATAATAATAAAAGATTGAGAATTCATAAGGATATTATGGTCTCCTGATTTTTCCAGTTGTGGATAGACCTGAAAAGGATCATTAGGTATTTATCTTTAATTCGAATTTTTGTTTTTGTTTTGTACTCACAATCTGGGGAGATTTTTTATGTATAAAACCGCCTTGGGACCGTCTTCGGGGGCTGATTTTTGCCTACACCTTTCCTCCCAAATTTTCGTCGGCTTTAGTAATGTCGAGCCAATCCTAGACCTCGCGGGGCTCGTGTTTACCTCTACATTGGGCTTTTTCACGTGTTTTGAATTCACAATTTTTTTACGTTTTCTCAAATAACTCGTGTCTCGTTCTCTGCGAATAATTAGAGGGGATTGAAGTGATTTTTTAAAGTAGTTATGAGTGCCGAAAGAAATTAATTAGTCAATTATGAATAATCACCGGAAGCTTTTAACCAACGCCGGAGTCCTCACAATTTCAGTACAACTTCTATTTTTAATTTGTCCCTTGGATTTCTCCTGCATTTTTTTAGTCCTGTACTCGTCGAGAGCCGCCTTAATTTCGATATTTCGGAGTAAAAACTGTTGCTCTTTCCACGAGCGAGTGCCTTCCGCCTGATTTCTCAGTCGCTCCTCATTCGCCAGTTTCGCGTTTTCCTTTTCTGTTTTCCATTTTTTTATCAATTCTTTCTTTTCGTCCGGCTGCTGAGTGTGAGGATCAGGGGGTTTTCGTGTTCTCGTTGATTTATCATCACTTGTAATTACGGAATCATTCACATCCCCTTCTGATTTATTTTGGGATTTCCTTCTGCTTGATTTATCGTCGAGACCATCGTCCTCGTTTTTTAATGACCTCATTTTCCCCAGCTTTTCCAAATCTTTCATTCTCCTCCATTCCTTGACAGTGGTCTTCTGCCTCTCTCGTAAATTAAGATAAATTTTGTACCACGCCTCGTGGTTTATGATCTCCTCGGCCGTCAGATCTGGACATTTTTTTCTGATCGAGTGAATCATCGCTGGAATATTCGGATTTTTCTTTCGAACTTTTAGGAAAAATAGGTGATCTTCTTGATTCCAATGCTGCGTGTGGCCTGGATTCATTATGTAAGTATTAAATGTGTTGAATTTATGGGAAAATTGTGAAGCATGATTTTTCTGAGAGAAATGGGAATTTATATCGTTGTCGAAATTCAGTAACGAAGCGGTAAAACGGTCCAAGTTAGTTTTCCTAGAATATCTCGGAATCTAAGGCAGATGGAAGAATTTTTGTTATTACCTTTTTTGTAGCTCTCAGTTTTCTCTATGAAAAAGGTTATTACAACAATTTCGCTATCTCCCTTGGATTCGGAGATATTCTTCGAAAACTCAGAGCTTTCATTTGAGATTTCATTTTCATCGTGATTTTTTTTCTAATTTTTCTAACGCAATTTAATTTACAAAATTGATGATTGAAAACTGCAAGAGATACTTGGATGCCCTTAAATCGCTTTAGTGCTTCGCTGCTGAATTGTTATACCGGTTTTACAGACGAGTGAATCAAAATCCTCGATCTCATCGTAATCGATAACTCCACAGTCTTTCCTATTTAGCGTAGTTTTCCTGGGACCAGCAGCCAGCAATCCGCTGTTCGGCTTCTCGTATTCATGAATATTTACTCTAAAATCGAGTATTGCCTGTTCGAGTTCCTTCTGCTCCGCTGCAAAAATTTCCAGCTGCGACGCTGGGTCAAATTCCTTAATTTTCGTTGACAGAGATAATAGTTTGGATTTGAGTTCTCCCGGATCTGATTTGGAAGAATATTGAAACTTAATTCAATTTCATTTTTTCAAGCCACATTATCTCTATGTAAAATATTAGAATTGATGAATATAAAATAATGAATATAAAATAATTGAAATAATTTAAGAATTGTAATTTTTTTAAATTACGAGCATTCTTCATAAACAATTTATAAACAGTCAACTTTCCGCCAGAAAAATCATTAGTTCGTAATCGCAACAAATTTATTAATATTCAGAATTTGATAAAGTATCAATTAAATTACTCGATAATGAATCAATTACCGTCAACTAGAATTCTGAAAAGTTCATACGAATGATTAATGATTAAATATAAATACCGATGGTCTTCCCATTCTGCACTTGGCCCACCATCGACTTAACAGTCTCTAAATCATCAGAAATATCCGACCCAATACGATAGATTGCGTCCACCACTTCACCCCTGGAGGATAGTGAATGAAAAATAACAATCACTTCAGATATTTGTGCACACATCTCTTTATTGATTCTCATTACCCCTCAATCGAGCATTCATTCCGTGTTTGCGTTAAATCCCGAATTAGATCAGTCTCCACCTTCATTCCCGTGACAAACGTCTCAATGCTCTTCTCAAGAAACTCTTCTTGCTGTTTTAATTTAACCAATGTTCTTACAAATCTCCTTCTCTCCGCCTGACTCATTCTTCCATTCAATTACAATTAATTCGGATTTTATTACAATTATTGCAACAGAAATAGTACTGTTGTCTCTCCTCACTCAGGCGTTCGTTTATTACATTTGACTAGAGGTACATGACAGTCTCTTATTTACGCCCTGTTTATTCAACGATCACTGTGTATTTTCTGGTTCAATTCGAATTGCGTAAATACGCAGGGTCTCCATGGATACAAACGCAGGTTCCCCTTCTATTGGAAATTGCATAGCCAGACAGGTGTGAAATAGGCGTCTCGTGCTCATCCAAGGCTCGAGTCGATCCCTCGGGGGCTGTAGAACTGAAGCAGAATACAATATTATTAATATTATAGAACAGAACTGAAATTAAACAGTGAATCATTACATAACGGATAGGAACACTTCTTCGCAGTCGCTAATTACCTAAATAATACCTGCGACTTAATGAATTAAAAAGCAGAAATAGAAGAAATATTTTTTTTTAATTACGAGCATTTTCTATGAATAATTTATAAATAATTCAGTAGCGAAGTAGTAAGACGGTTTAAGTCGACTCATCTCCCAGCTGAGTTTTTGAGGAATATTTCCGAATCTAAGGGAGATAGCGAAATTTTTGTAATCACATTTGTTGTAGCTCTCGATCGGCTCCACAAAAAAGGTTATAATGAAAATTTTGCTATCTCCCTTAGAATCCGAGATATTATATCCAAATTGACTTGTACCGTTTTACCACTTCGTTACTGAATCAATTTTCCGCCAGAAAAATCGTTTGTTCGGAGTCGTAATAAATTTATTTATATTCAGAATTTTACTAAAAGAATAACGTTTTCGAGAGTTTAAATAACTTCAATTGTTCATTTACAAATAACGAATGTTTAAGAAATAATAATTCTGCGCAAAATGTCATGATTTTTTCAAAATCTTTCCCACACAATTTAATTGACCAATTTGATGATTAAAAATGGTTGAGTTTGTAGTGTGGTCTGTACCAAATTCTAAATAAAAGATACTTGGATATCCTTCAGTTTATCTCATGAATAAAAATGAATTTTTCTACTCAATTTTTCAATCGTAATGAAATAGAACTTCTCACCTTATACTGTCGTTCACTGAAGAACTTTTAAATAGTCGCTCATTCTTACCAGTCGATTGCCCTCTGGAATTGATGATCCCCCGTTTCGCACCCTCGATGCCTCGTTATCCCTGGAAATAAAAACACACAGGAGAGCAGTACCCATTCTAGTCATAATGAAGGAAAGGGGAGAATGGCTTTTAATAAAATAAAATTTACTGGCTATTTAATCCACTAAAATCCCATTAAAAAAACAATTAACCGCGGACGAATCGCGTGATGATTTTGTTGCTAACTTCAATCAAAATTCCAACCAGTCAATTTACAACGTCAGCCGTTATTTTCACTTCGTCCAAATGAAAATCATTTGTCTAGATTGAAGTAAAAAAATTCAATAAATTTCTCGGTCGCATCGAAACCATGTCACGCCGCGAATTGAAAAATGAAAGAACGTGATTTCACTCAAGCCAATCAATCCCTTGAATAATATTTTTCACTGACAGCCGGAGGAATTGAGCCCAATCACGAATTGATTCCCCGAGTGTCAGAAGCTCGTAAATTCCCATTTGTGAAGTGGAGTATCACTTCCAGTTCAATTGAATTCAAATGGACAGCGACGAGAGGGCAGCTTTGAACTACGACTGCAACTACAATCTTTTGCTAGCTAAACGTCTCATCAAGAAGCTGGTTAAACTCCAAGGTGATGCATCGATCGTTAATAAGAGCCCAAAATCCCGGTTCAAGTCGATTTTGCCTGTTGGTCAGTTTTCCACAAATATCTCGGAATCTAAGGCAGATAGCAAAATCTTTGTCAGAACCTTTTTTGTAGCGCTCAATCCGCTCTACAAAAAAGGTCATAACGAAAAATCCGCTATCTCCCTTAGATTCGGAGATATCCCTCCCTGGATGATGATAAAACGGTTGATCCCTTCAGATCGAAAGCTCGTCGTTCAGTGGCTGAAATACCTCATGTCTTTCAATGAAAATCTATCCGAGATGGAGTTGAGGAACGACTTCATGTACCACCTGGTCCTGAACATGCAGGAGGGCAGCCTGAAGCCACCCTTCTCCTCTCAACCGTCAACAAAAACCCCGATTTCTGAATTGACACATCTCATTGTGAGTATTTCTCTCAACGTCGTCTCTTCGGAATCTTGACTCGTCGCTTTTAACAGCCTGGCAGAAGCGACAAGACGATGACAGTCGAGGAGATGATGGCGGAGATCGATGGGGACGTCAATCTGGGGAGCAACAAACCACTCGTCATGGAAAAATCACCGGATGGCGGGGCTTTCTTCGCTCAACAACCCATGCCCCATGAAGGAGCTTTCGCTTATCTCACTATCAGCACTAAAGCGCACAGATCGATGAAAAAATGCCCCTTAGATTGAGTGTCTTACGGTCTTTTTTATTCACCATTTTTTTAAATATTTAATTTTTTTATGTTGTCATTTCTCAATTTTTTTTCCAAATATTTTCTTTCTATATTTTTCTATTTCTCCGTTTTTTTTTTTTCAAATAAGAGAGTGTGGGGTAAAACGGCCCCTTTTGACTTTGTTGTGATACTCATAACTCAGAAATAAATTCATTAATTGAGATCAGTCTAGGCTCATTCTAAAGGAAGAAATGTAGTTTCCATGGAAAAAGTTATTTCGTTTTATTTCAAATTGGAATGAGCTGGTAAAATTTTCGAAATAATCAAAAGGGGCCGTTTTACCCCACTCTCCCCTATTCATTTCTATATTTTTTTTATTTCTCCATTCTTCTCGATTTTTTATTCTCCAAAAAAAATTTTGTGAAATATTTGAAAATTTTTCTTCAATTCAATTATTGTTCCCAATTTTTTACCCTTCTAATAGCTGAGCGAAAATAATTACGGAAAAATATTCAATATTCTCGTAATTTGGGGTCAATATTTTGAAGAGCGGTCGCATAAGTACTTCGTCTAAATACAGATCCAACATTTCATTTCCACAGATGCATTATCTCTCACGCATCTATATTTGCCCAGCAACATATTTACGCCGCACGCGTCGTACGTTTGAAAAGTTCCTACGACAAATACGATAAGGAATACTCCGTAAAGATAACTTACGTCACGAAATGGGAAAACTTGATACAATGTCATGCGTGTAAACAATCTCTACGCGTCCATTCAAAGCCGAGCCTGGGGAGAGGAATATATTTAATTAATTGAGGACGATCCGCAAACAATGATTTCGCGGATGCCAAATTGATTGGTTATAAGTTGTTTGTGGCGAAAGCTCGTCATCTTCATCGATTATTTTATTTATATAATCTTCCTCGAAGGCTAGACCTCTCAGTTTCAGATTTTCAAAATGATTTCTTGCGGTGCTTGTTGGGATTGTGGGGAAAAATGGAAACACTCTCTGACAATTCGTTGATGTAATTAGCTTTATTAATTGGAAGGCACGTCAACCAGAAATTGCGTGAGAAAAATTAGAAAAAAACATGAATATTCAGCGTCATTCGAATAACATTTTTCGAATAACAATTTGTTACAATCCCGAACAAATGATTTTCAGCATTTGTCAACTTATTTACAGAAAATGTCCGTAATTTTAAAAAATTGCAACTTTTTAATGACTTCATCAGTCCAAAAGTAAATATTCTTTTTTTTACATTTTTAAAATGTTTGCTAAGTTTAAATATCAAGATTTGCATTCAGACCTTAGAGTTTAAATAATAAAATCATTCTAAAATGTCCGGAAACTCAGGATCAAATGAGGCACAAATGAGGGCTTCGATGTTCGACTGCAAAACTGTAAAAGGATTTCACTGGTGAAAAAATAGCCAAACTACTTGGATATCCTTAATATATCCGCGGACGCCAACTTCATTGTTATGCTTTGAGTATTGATGTTGAATAATTGGCGATTCAAAGAGGATCATTCAAATGAAAATCCTCAGGGCCACGAATTACTGAATTTTTCATCAGACGCAACGATTGAAATTCGGTCACGGATTATTCTCCGTCTATAAATAAGAGAAAATCCTCATTTCATCTTTTTGGCATCAGATATTCCGGCCATTCTCATCTTCAATAATTAATTCATTGAGTGATTTCAAACGGAACTCCAGAAGAAAAATTCCAAAAACAACAATTTCACAATTTCCTCTAAAATCATTTTTTAACAAGACAATAAACTTCTATTGAACATAAACAAATTGAGTAATTAAAAAATGTCCACTGCATGGGCCATTGACCTGCGCATAATGCCGATGCAATAACGCGATTTGCGTTACGTGTAAAAAAGGAAAAATCCTTCGAGAGAACAATGAATCTCACATAAAGATAACAAATCAATTACGCACCAGGAAATTATTTTCTAGACAGCATTATCTGGGAGGAGGCAATCTCCCGACCTTCTAAAAATCGCGCCGATGAAAAAAAGTGCCTCGAGTTTGATGAAGAAGACGATTTAGATAGTAGTATTTATCGTAAATATTGAATGAGGCAAACTTTAGTCGTGCGCTGTGTATCTTCACTAGTTAGAGGCCACGAAGAGTAGGAGAAGTGTGAAACAATGCCCCCTAAACACTCAGCGAATTGTTCAGTTTGCACTAGCATCTATCAGTATGTAAATTGCGCTGCTTGATACGTGCGGCTTTTATATCATGCCGAGTGACGTGAAAATTCGCGGTGTAAAGTCACATCCAAGTCGCCACGATTTTTACGGTTTTGTATCCTTTTACGAGTGACTGGGGGATTGCCTCAATTTGAGTTTAGCTCGAGGACACCATGATTCATGTGGAGACGTTTCGAAGAGACCCAGGGGATCCATTAATTTTCTGCACTCGTGGTTCTAATTGAATTCAGTAGAGAAGTGGTAAAACGGTATAAGTCAATTTTGACTATTGACCAGTTTTTCATAAATATCTCGGAAGCTAAGGGAGATAGCAAAATTTTTGGTATAACCTTTTTTGTAGAGCCGATTGAGAGCTACACTAAATGTAATTATGAAAATTTCGCTATCTGCGTTAGATTCGGACATATTCCTCAAAAACTCAATTGGGAGATGAGTCGAGTTAAATCGGTTTACCACTTCGATACTGAATTCCTGAAAAATGGGATTTTCAGGGGATGGTGCCGCGGAGAGAATGTAAAATTAAAATTTACTATGTGAGCCGGAGAAAATGCACAATTTGATTTATTTTAACCGAACGTTTGCGATGGGAAATTCAATTTTTACGATTTAACGTAGGAATTTCTAACGGAATTTTTAACGATTTTTCTGGCGAATTCGGTAAGTTTTCCCTTCCTCACTCTCATTTTGATGATAATAGTTCTCAAGGATGATAAAGAAGATTAAATAGGGTTTTTCACTTCGGTTATTCAGAAAGCCCCCCTCTCCCTCGTCCTCTTCCGCGAACATTCATTTTGAAAGGGAGAGGAATATTTTTTAGTCGACGAAGTTAAAATTCATGTTTATCCTCCTAAATTTTATTTTCTTTCTGTCTGAAAAATTCCTAACAACTTCTGTATGTTTAGCTGTCTGCGAAAATGAAAATCAATTTTATAGGTTTAGTTTTCCCGAAGGATTTGGAATTTCCCCATTTATCGTGAGGAATGCGCCCACTTGATTCATTAACAAATAATTGACTCAATGTATTTTTAAATGAACGAAATTCTCATTCAAGTTACACCGCAACCGCGTTTATTTTGATAATTTTACCCCAGATTTTTCAAAATATTTGCCATCCTCGAACATCAAGAGTTCATTAAAATTGATTTGGATTTTTTTCGGGAATTTCTCTTTGATCATAAGCATGTTCATACAATTTCTGCTCTGATTAAACACTCCTGCTGATAAGAGCCCATTTGATAAATGAACGAAATGATTATTCTCAGTCAGTGATCCGCCGGTGATTTCGGTAGTACGAATTCAGCTGTTGAAGGAAAAAATGAAAACAAACATGCTAAATTGCAAGACTGCGCATTTACGCTCTCCATAAAAAATAATCACCACGCGATGATTGCAGTTCACTGTGAATTCCATGAGAAGTTTGATTTTTTATTCACACGAGCGAAAAGTATTTCGGTGACTGGACCAACTGAAGTCCAACAACGAGGAAAGAAATTTATACGTTTTCACTGGTGTTATTTTTACACAATTTGCGTTGTATTCCGGAATATATTGAATTTTCATGGATAGAGAGGATCAGTGCGGTTTGTGGAATGCACAGTGGTGTTGGGGAAAATGGCAAGTGGAAAATTTCAAAATGAAGTGAGGGTAAATATTCGGTGACTGGTGCAAAATGGGCTGCTCGACAAGTGCAGTCCTCATTTGCATGAGGAATAAAAAAAAATTCAAGTGCCGAAAGGCTGAGGAGTCTTTGGTGCAAACTGGTGAGTAGTTTTTTCATTTTTCTCAATACATTTCAGTGGTAAATTCGTAAACATGTCGTGTTGAATTATTTATTCCCGAAATTATCGGAAAGTGATAAAAAATGATTTTTCGAAACGTCAAGATCTTTTTTTTTCATCACAAATGTCGGGTTGTGGACATGATTTCATAAAGCAATAGTTCTGTGATTCTGTCCGAAATTAATTAAATCAAATAATTAATTTAATTAATTTATTTATTCTCTGCAAAATTTATCTAGTGATGAATTGAAAAATTGTAGTGGTTATTCCCTGCATTTTTTCATCTCAACTTCATAATTGTAATGAATACGTTCTTCTTACGGTTATCATTATTTGATAACACGGAGCCATGCCGTCGATTCAATACGAAGCGTTGTGCATGATGCCAGATCGTCGATACAATCGAATTAACTCTATACATTACGAGACACTGTGTGTCGTGATACTGTCGATTGAATAACAATGATTAATGCTAATTGCAGTCCCTCGTCATCAACACAATCTCGGGTAAAACTCGTTTCAACAAATTATGAACGTTCATGAGTGAAGTTGTAATTTTTTATCGCGGAGAGACCTTCCATCACAATATTTCATTGGAAGAGGGAACATTTTTTGTTTTATTTTTTTTTGCAAGTTATGTAAAGGAAGATCAATAAATAGCTTGGGAATGGATCAGCTTTTTGAAGATTCGGAAATTTTTTGGAATGTTTCAATTCATGGATGTCTCAGATAAAGAAATCAATTGATAAAATTTTGAGTTCAATTAATTTTAAGAATTGGGAAATCGAATGAAACAAATCTAAAGAGAAAAATCACCTTTTTAGGATCATTTTCTCTGCATTTTCCCTTCATATTTTTATTCATTAAAAATTTTAGAAATGCCTCGATTCATTAATGCCTCAGGTAAAAAATCAATTGATAAAAATTTATGAGTTCAATTAATTTAGAGAATTGAGTCATATTCGCACATTAAAAATAGTGAAAGTAGATATTGAGTGGTCCCCCAAAACCCACAAAAATCAATCAAATTCAGTGGAAATTTTTTTAAAAAATCCAATGAAAAATCACGCAAATCCCGAGTCCCGCGCCGAGACCCAATAATTCTTTAATTTAAGAGCCAAGGAGGTGTCGAACGTGAATCGAATCATGACATATCGTAATATCACTAGCCTAAGGCAGCAGTACTCACGATGATTTTCATGGCTATAGCACAGACATCCACGTCCTCGCCCATTCACTCACCCAACGGGGGCAAAATTGTACACTCCCGTGGTATTTTAGTTCAGTCGTTGTAAAACCACTGACGATGGGCCACGTATCGAAATCCACTCGTCAACCGCTGACAAAAATTCACAACATCCCTCATTCCCCAATTTCGCATTCAACAAAAAATTCAAATCCCTCCGAGTAAAAAAAATATAAAAAATAGAGCAAGCGCGTGTCATTATTTTAATTAACATTATTTTAATTAACAAAAATTCAACTCGAAACTCGTGGCCTCAGCGGTTAAATAATCCCCAGAGTGCGCACCAGTTGAATCATTGCTCAGAGTCATAGTTATCGCGATCGTGCTCGACAAGCGAATGTCTTTGTTCCCGCAGCCCTCTTATTTATTTGTTATCGAAAGACTCGAAATTCTATCTTGGTTTCACTGCGTCAATGCAACCGCACAGCAAGAAAAAATAAAATCAAATTTACGGGGAAAACTAGACATTAAATCCCATCGAAAAGTTGGCGTGGGCGTTTCGACGTTTGTTGCTCAATAAAAATAGTGCATTGATTATGTTCGAGGTGGAGCATCGATCAAGGTGCCTCTAACGATCGCCGGATCGATCCATCACGCCGTGAATTGCGGCTGCTACATCAACGGGAATTCGGAATTTATTTTTGTTGGAAAGAAAATAGTGCAATTTCTGTTGTTTAAATTGAAATTTTATGGGCGACGGGAGATTTATATGCGCTGGCCTAGGGAGGATCAGGTCAGAAGGGGATCAACTAGCTGAGCTGGCGAATTTCGGTGGACAGTCCAGAAGTCGTCCCTGAAATTTTTTTTTTCTGCAAGAATCGGTTTAAATGAGACTGTGAGTGATTTTTGTCGGAAATTTAATGAAAATTCGTCATTTTGTCGAATTTGTGGGCTCAAATCAATTATTTATATTCATTTGTTGGATATGAAAATGAGAAGAAGTCAATTCTCTTCGATTTAAGGATATCCAAGTAGCTTTTACAGTTCCGTACAGACCACGCTATAGATTCAACAATTTTAATCTTAAATTTTTTGAATTAAATTGCGTGAAAAAAATTTTGAAATAAATTATGAATATCCAGCGTCATTTAAATTACATTTTCCACAGAATTATTTTTATACTGGACAATTGCAATTGTTAAATTATTTCATAAATCTGCCTCCAAAAATAAAATTTCTTTTTTTTCAAAATTTTTAAAGTGTTTTCTAACGGTTCAATATCGAGATCCAAATTTAGACCTGCAAAGTTTAGTTGAAAAATCATCGCAAAATATAAAATATAAAATTATAAAATATAAGGAAACTTAGGGTCAAATGTGGGTGATTTTTGTCGGAAATTCAACGAAAATTCGTCATTTTCTCGTCTTCAAGGGTTCAAATTAATGATTTATATTCATTTCTTAGACCTGAAAATGAGAAAAAGTCAATTCAACTCTTCGACTTAAACAATGAAAATTGAAATGAATGTCACAAAATAAAAAATAGACACGCACCAGTTTGTTTTATCAGAAAACTTCCTCGATACGGCGCACCTGATTTTTCCCCCCGAGAAGATATAAATCATGAAATAAAAACGTAAATATCAATTGATCAGCGAAAGAATCGATAAATCCGGAGGGATTTTGTGATAATGTGTTGGCGTCTATTTGCGACTGAAAGTTTATCAGCGAAATCGCTCCATTTTCCCGAAAAGTATGCGAAAAATGACTGGTGTGATGTGATAAAACGTGACTAACGACACCAGTTTGAAAAATTCTGTGGAAAAATAGCAGTGGGTCATTGCACCGTGGACGATTGCGTCAGATTTACATATGACATCGAGTCCGATCGCCTGCAATTTCTATCCCAGAGAGGATGAGACCCTGGACGAGTCACGACTGGTCACCAACGGTACGTCCCATTTGTCTATTTCCGGTTGTTTTTATCTCCCTAGAATGGAATTGCCTGCATTCGCTTTGGGAAAATGGCATCACGACACACGGGAAGGGGTCATCGCTCTCGGATTTCCTCTGTATCGCCGGCTGTTTTATTATTCGCGCATCGCCTTGACAACGGTTTTACGTCATGATTTTAATCAGACTCTTGATTTTATCGGAGGGCTGGCGGCTCTCCGATATAGTTCGCCGGGAATTATGTCGGGTTGAGGTGTCAGTTTTCAGGATTTTCGCGATGCCGGAGTTGTCCGGGGGCTCTGCCGGCTGGAGGTGGAGGATGTAAGTGTTACAGGATGCAGTTGAGGTTTATATTCATAGAGAATTGGATTTTATTGTGGGGTAAAATGGGCGGTTTTTACTTTTTTATAAATGTTCATGACGTGCTGAATTGTTCATAAAATGGAATAATTTTATTTTTCAATTGAAAGGACAATTCTTCCCCTTTGTGATGAGCTCAATTGATAAATATAAAATGAAATTAGTAAATAAATAGTAAGGAAGGTTGGGGTAAAACGGACACGTTTGACTTTTTTTTTAATGTTAATGAGGGGTTGAAGTGTTGATAAAATTTAATAATTTTTCTTCTCAAAACGAAGAACAATTCTTTCCCTTTGTGAGGAGCCTGCACTGAGCTCAATTGATAAATTTGTTTCTGAGTTATGAATAATTTTAAAAAAGTCTAGTGTCCATTTTACCCCACCCTCCACTAGATTTTCTTATTGAAATTGGGGAAGACGCTTGCAGGAATGAATTCCTGACGGAAAATGTACTCCAATATTTTTTTTCTGGAGCCACTTCTTGCCGAGATTGTTTTATATATTTTTATATATTTTTTCTTGGCATTAAGATTATTCCCTATGCCATAAAATGCTGACGATTTAATTCCTCATCAATTGCATTAAAAAAATGGGCATGTGGGTTTTAAGAATAATAGGAATAACCTTAATAAAAAATAATCCGCTTGGATTTACGTTGGATTTACCGTTTCGAGTGGTAAATCCACTGTTCATCGAGAGCAATCCGTTTATTTCCATCTGCATAAATCAAAGCAAACAAAAAAAATCCTCCACAATCCGTATCCATTGAAATTTCCACTGTCTGAGATAATAATTATCAATCAGAAAAAAGAGTGTAGAATAATTCAAGGAAATCTTCTTGTTTTTTATTGTTCAGGAAGACTTAGTTAATGACAAATAAATTGCCCCATTTTTTTTTCTGAAACCACTTCTTATCGAGATGATTCTACATTTCATTTGACATTTACTATGTTAATGTGTTCAATTAAATGCATTAGTCAACTGGGGTTTTAATATTTATTTGATTTTTAACGAAATTTTCAACAAAATTTGTTTCTCCAAGGAACTTACAACTGGCAAAAAAAAATCCTTTACAATCCGCGTCTATTGAGGGTTTAACTGTAGTAATAATTATCAAACGAAAAAAAAAATAAAACAATTCACGGAAACCTCAAGTTAATTCCGTATCCATTTCCTCCTACCCATTCAAAAAAATTTCAACTTAACTTAACTTTTTTGCTTTTACAAAAAAATTTGATTCAATTCAATCTCGGCACATTAGGTTCACATTGAAGTTATTCCTCAACTAGGATTATACATTTTAATTGGGATTATGTGTTATAATTATATATTTTGCCCCTAGATTACTCAAGCTTATTTAATATTCAGTAAGACATGACAATTTACCTCTTCATCAATCACTCAGCGAGGCCGGTGGTGCCCTCGAATCACAAGAAATGATCTTAATGAAAAATAACAGCATGTCGTAATACTAGAAAAAGTACCCCCAAGTGTCCTTCGCCAAGAAATTGGCAGTCGTTGAATTACGCCCGAGGCAGCGAACCCGCGAGCGACAGAATACGCGATCTGCCCCCGAAGTAGTAATGCCTCGTGTGTAGAAAGCGCCTCATTGACTTGACGTAATGCCCCCTGTAATGTTCCACATTCTCGACTCGTTGAGCAATTGTGCAAGAGTCATTACGCGTACGGAGCGACACCGAAGATTCGCCGCGGCCCGTCAAAGCACGGAGATCCCGCGAGGTATAAAAAGGAAATGTTGGATTGTTTGAGCGAATAAGGACGGGCACGTGTGAAGTGGCGTGTATACCGACTTCAATTCGTGACGGCAATTTATTAAATTGTTGCCCTGGAGATTAAATAAAATGAGAAAAAATTGTCTGGAGTTATTTATGGTTTATTGGTAATTGAAATTGGGGGCCAGAAGATTGGAGGCGGTTATTTAATTCAGTAGTTATGAAGATGTTGGGGAGGGTGGGGCAAATAATTTCGGGGAAAAATTCGTGGGAAAGGGAAATTTTAGTTTAATTATTCCGGAAAAATTAATGAAAAATGAGGAAAATTCAGAGAAATCTCTCCTTGAATTCTAGATTTCTCTGAATTTTCAGGGAATTCCTTTAAAATTCCTGGCATTTCAAGAATTTTAAAAGAAATCCCTCAAAATTCAAGGAAAAATCATTTTCATGGAAAAATCCGTGGGAAGGGGAAATTCCAGTTGAATTATTCTGGAAAAATTAATGAAAAATGAGGAAAATTCAGAGAAATCTCTCCTTGAGTTCCAGATGCCTCTGAATTTTCAGAGAATTTCTTCAAAAATTCCTGGAATTTCAAGAATTTAAAAAGAAATCCCTGAAAATTTAAGGAAAAATCATTTTCATGGAAAAAATCGTTGAGAAGTGGAAATTTCAGTTGAATTATTCTGGAAAAAATATTGAGAAAAATCTCTCCTTGAATTCCAGATTCCTTTGATTTTCCAGAGAGTTCCGTCAAAAATTCCTGGAATTTCGAGAATTTTAAATTCCTGGAAATTTGAAATTTTTTAATTCCGTTTTCCTGCCGGGAAAAAATTGGGACTTTACTCCATTTTACCCCTTTCGTCCCTAAAAAGAGTTTTTAGACTTTACTGTTCAACTCAACCATTACGTTTTAGCAATATCTTCGATTTATATAATAGAATACATCGTCTCCTTGAATAATAAACAGTCATCTGTGTTTTTGCAGGTGACAATGCAGATTTGGATTACTGGAAGGAGAAAAATCTCGTGGGTTCACCGATGTTCTCCGGAGAAGAAGACATGGAGTGCACCATGGCCGTAAGTCCACGAGAAATGCTCGACATTCATCATCACTATGCAAAACAACATAAACAGTCATTTGATAATTCTCAATGACATCTCAGTTGTCTTTATTACTCCTGAGTTATTGAAATACCGAATCCTCTGAAGAAAAAACGAATCTGAAAGCAAAAAAATTAACTAGTGAATTAAATTGATGCGACGAAAAAATTGTTGAACTCACGAAAATGTTGGAAGTGTTGAGACAGACTCAGAACTGAAAAATAAATTCCGAGCGTGACAAAATCCGTTTCTTTAATTCAGTAGCGAAGCGGAATATCTCGGAATCGAAGAGAGATAGCAAAAAAGGTTGTGACATTCGTCAAAAACTGGCCGATAGTCAAAATCGAATTAACCCGGTTTACAGTTTCGTTCTGGGATTCCCCGTCACTCAACCTCAGAGTACTTGCTTCGCCTTGACATCTGAATCCATCACTGTCTCCTGTACTGAGAGCACTTAAAAATATGAAGAACACAACTTTCTAAAAACAGTATTATTTATTATCTCCCCTTCCACTATTAAAAATCAACGAAAAAAAAATCACCGGAATATCTCATGATCTATTAGTTTTACAGAATATCAGCCACAGCAATATTTTGGCGTAATATTTTTTACACTAGAAATTTTATTGAGGAAAACGTGAATTTTTGTCGGTATTTCTGTGAAAATTTCACAGAAATCACCAGAAATACCAAGAAATTTGACCTTAACAGCACTAGAATTTTTCAGAGCCGGTGGATTGTGATTTTTTCCAGCACTCGTACTAGAATTTTTCTAAAAAATTTCTCTCCGTGCGATGCACTTCGCCCCTTCACCAGCAGATTAACCAGAATAAAAATGTATCACTCAATCCGTCACTCATCACCCCCGGTCCTCTCGCCACTCTCAAGTTCAAGTGCAAAGTGAAGCTCCGACCTTCCGCCGGCAGAATGAATCCGATCGATGAGCCACAATCGTCGGAACCCCCCACACTCAGCGATCGTGACCACCGCCAATCCATAATAAATGACCACTCAAGAACTTTGTTGCTATCTCATAAATACCCAACGACAGCGATTTTCCCCGGCAATTTCAAGTTGTAAATCCCAGAAAATTGTTTGAAAAAAAAACCAATGCTCGAACACTGAAGGGGTTGAACCTAGAAGAATTAAAAATGCATGAGATGTGTCTGGGCTGATGTGGCCTCTCTGGAGTTCGAGGACCTCGAGCTCCAGCAATAGATCGCCTTCCACACGAAACAAAAACTCTGAAAATTGTCTTGGCTTGAGAAATCACAGGTGGAGATGCAGAAAAAAATTCCACTATTTTTTCCAGCGAAAGGAAAAAATATGAATTCAGTTTTTGTCTTCGAGAGAGAATTAAATTGTGGACATGTGGCGTTTCTCAGGCGGTGGAAGTGGCGACGGGGGTGAGTGGGGGGCGGTGGGGTTTTGGGGAGGAAGGGTTGCGTGACCTGGTGGTCTTTGACCCCTGCGCCTGCGTCCGGGATTTTTCTTAGGGTTGGCGGTGATCAGTGTGGTTTCTACCCTTGACTTGGACGTTTTGGTTTTTTCGTTCGGGGGGTGTTCATCGCCCCCCAAACGAAAAGAACAAAACGTCCAAGAAAAAATGCCGCAGCAAAAAAAAATCCCGCAGCAAAAAAAAATTAGAGAGAAAAAATCCCGCACCGCTCGCCGGGATTCGAATCCGATTCCCGGGTTACGCGCCGAGCACTCTCCCAACTAAGCTACCAGGAGCTACGGAAATTCTCTCTCCAAATTCCCCTTACATGACCGCCTAATAACCTTTAGGGGTTAAATATTCAAAGAGAACTAGAATTTAGAGAGAAAAAATCCCGCACCGCCCGCCGGGATTCGAATCCGATTCCCGGGTTACGCGCCGAGCACTCTCCCAACTAAGCTACCGGGAACTACGGAAATTCTCTCTGCAAATTCGCCTCATAACACCGCCTAACCACCTTTAGGCATTAAATATTCAAAGAGATTCGGAATTTAGAGAGAAAAAATCCCGCACCGCCCCCGGGATTCGAATCCGAATCTCTCAGTTACTAATTCTCAAAGAGAATTAGTTTTGAGTCAACAGGGGGTTTTTAAACATTTTTCTAAGGTTTGGGGAATTTAGAGGTTTTTTGAATCGTTATTTTTGAGTGACAATCAGGGGATTTTTACAATACAAAAAATTCCTCATGATTAAAATTCAAGGGTTCAAGGGCTAGTGACTCAGCGATGAGATTCAACAGATCTTTGAATCATTGGCAAATAGTTTCAAGTCACAAGTGAGATTTTAAAAGTTCCTCTGAGTTTGTTTTGAAATGTTTTTAGAATTGTTTTTTTTATTGACAATTAGGGAATTTTGCAAATGACATTTTTCATGAATAACATTCAAGGGTTCAAGGGCTCTCTAGCCCACAGGACTCAGCGATGAGATCCCACAGATCTTTGAATCGTTGGCAGATAGTTGTGAGGAATCAAAATGTTTTTAGAATTGTTATTTACTATTGACAATCAGGGGATTTTTTAATGCAAAAAAATCTACATTATGAATAATGCTAACAAACGTGACCCTCTCCATTCATCATCTCCGACTCTTCATGTTTGCTTAGTCACTCTTATTTTCCAATAGATATTGTCGGTAATTTTTCCAGGAAGTTTCAAGTGCTCTTTTTAATCTAAAAAAATTGTGTCCGACAAGATACGAGCAGTCACCGTAAAATTTCCCTTATCTAAGATAGTTTACGCTGGGCTTGAGTTGTATCGCCATCGATAATCTCGACTGTCGATCAGTGTCGTTTCAGCCTCAGTGTCGTGACAGTTCGGGCCCTTGAGAGATACGTCGTCCCGACATTTCCGGGCTTTTTCGAACGTTCATTTCGCAAGGAATTAATTTTCTGAAATTGGATGTGTCGTTTTATCCTGTCTTCTAATTTTTTGAGTCAAGGCCACATTTCGAGGATAATTCGAGAGTGTGGTAGTGGTCTCGGCCGATTTTTTGTGACCCTTATGGCGGAGTTTACGGACACGAGACGCCTGACCCATCGCACTCTTCACATATCCGGTGCCACTGGGCCGGACGATGAGCCCAAAACCGAGTCAATGTCCAACTCTTGGATGTCGGGAGTTTCTTCGATATTCTGCGGTCGATTGTGGAAACGGAAGTTGTTCGGGAGTAGGGATAAGATGCAAGTACTCGCGGTACCGGAAACTCTGAAAAATCTCGTAGGTTTTTCAGCATTATTTCAAGAATCGCAAAACGAATATTAATAAAAATATTTGATATTCGTTTCATCTGATTTCACTGATTTCTGATAATTTTCTTGATGTCAAAATTGCAATTTGACATCAATTCGAGGGGTAAATACGTTCGCGGCAGACATGACCCTTCAACAATTCGGAAATAATCTCTAAAATCAATAAGTTTAGGGAGAAATGTCGAGATATTGTTTATTTGGAATAAATAAATTGTTTATTGGATATAATTAAATCCTTTCTATTGAAACAAGTAAAAATATCAAGTAAAGATTAAAATGGGAATAATCATCGATTTTCTACTGCTCAATCGATTCTACAGTTCTTCATAAATTTATTACTACGAATTACAGTTGAGGACTATGGGAATAAATTTTGATAATTTTATTTAATTTTTCATTTTCTAGAAGGGACCACAGGATTTCAACTCAACCCTATCGATAACCGCACCCTCGCAAGTTGTGGAGGTAAAACGTCACTGACTACCATTTTCATCCGATTATTCTATGACAGGAGTGACAGTAAACAGTTGGAAAAGAAATGAAATTTCAGGTTTCACTGAAAATTCAGTAAAATTCCCCAATTTTCAGCACCACAAAGATGAGAATGCCTTAATTTATTTGCATTTCCAATCTAATATGAATATTCAGTGCTAAATTCCATTCAATTGTCAGTAAAATCTGAAATTTTTCTGTTTTTCTATTCATTTCCAGAGAAAAATGTAACTGAAATTTCCAGTTCTCATTGATTTCTCCACGGAATTCTGCATTTTCAATGACGAAATTCCCTGAAATTTCAGTGCTAATTAAACCCCATAAAAATTTCCAAAAAGTGTTTGAAATGAATTTCCAAAAATTTCCAGGTGTTACTAGTATTTCCGCGGGAAGATCGTCAGCTAGAAGCCCTGGGAGCAGTCTCCAGAAAGCTGGGATGGAGTGTCGAGGTAGTGAAAAGTGGAGAAAAGGCGGCTGAGGTTTTTCAGAGTCGATCCCACGACTTAGTGATTATCGATAGGAGGGGGCATCGGGCCAATGAGGCAGACGCTATTTGTCGGTAATTTAAAAAAACGAATACCTTGAATTAAATGCAAAACCTCATGACTTGATCTCGACGAAAATGGGAAAATACTCAAGGATTTTTCTTTTTTTTTCATCTTTCGTAAAAGCTGAGGGGCTTCGAGCTATATAAATTAAGAATAGAATTTCCGTTGCATTTCAGAGCCATAAGAGCAACGAATTGCCATCACAGCAGTGTAATTTTAGCATTAGTTAAAAAGTCGTGAGTAAACAAGTAAACAAACATTTTTTGTCCAATAAATCAGTCGCTGAATTCGTCGACTAATAATTCTAATCACTCATTTCTTCTTGATATTGAAAGCTTCTTCACGGTAGCCGATAAGGACGAGATAGTGACATTGGACTTGCTGAATACGGGTTACAGCAGAGTGAGTCATTAAAATAGTCATTATTAGCATCAACAGAGTCTATTCTCCATCCAATGAACCATAGATTGACCCTTTCAAGGGTGCACTGTCGGAAATTCATCCAAGAGCTGCAATTATTGTCTTCATTGCGAATAGTGCAGGCAATATTTCGTTGGATTTCGCATAAATTTAATTTTAAAAGTAAGAATTTTAAATGATCTAGGCAACGATGGAGTGCACGCACGAGATACTTCTCGGAAATCAATTGATCGGGATTTACGCCAGTGAAATACAGCCCAGGATGCAGCTCGCCGCGGCACATGCGCTTTATGTGGCTGTCGACAGATGCAGGGATATGGTACATGTTACTGACGATCAACACATCGTTAGGGTGAGTGCAATAAACCTGTGAATCGGAAATAACTTCTTTAATTTTAGATACGTGACCCTCAATTTTCATTTTTCGATTTTCTCCGACTCAAATTTTTTTTCGGTATGAGAAGACGATTCTCCCCAGACAATTTTGGATGGTGAAATCAATATTGTGATTTGTGCGCGGATTTAATAATAAATTACTTCACTAAATGAATTGAATTGGGGCGACGTGGATAACTAAATGAGATATGAAAGTTAGTGACGTTTTTTGTAGCCAACATTGCCTCAACGTTAACCCTAGTCTGCTCACCTCCGCGGGGATTCCCCGCCGTGTTATTCAGGCTCCAGCGGTGCCGAATTCACTCTACACTGTCCGGGCGCGTTTAGCGAGTTTCCGGCAACGTCGCGTCGTGGGCAATTTAATTCAACGTGGGAAAAAATAAATCTTTTCGAAATAATTTGTTTTTTCTAGGAATTTAGGGAAATATGTTGTTCTAAAAACTACTATAATTTTTTAGACACTTCAACTCAAGCAATCAATCGTCAATTTTTTTTTATTTTTCCGGTTAACCAGTCAATTGTAATTGAAGAAAAAGGACGCGCGGCGGAGTTTCCCTCACAGGGTGACCAATCTAGGGTTAAAATTTTTGGCCTTTCCCTCCATTCGGAAGCAAAAACGTTGAAAATACAGCAAATTCCGAGATACCGAATCTTTCGAAATTTCTGATTACGTTTTCATTTCGATTACGTCAATCTTTATCACCCCGCACAACAAACCCTCGTAAATAACCAAAAACCATAAAATAAATATTCCAGTTTGTGAATAAGGCCAGTGAAAGGTTGCTGGGTTATAAGTACGAGGAGATGCTGGGTCGAAATCTTTCCGAGCTAATAACCTGCGAGAATTTTGCGCTTATGGACCAACAGCTCCAACGCGGACGGGAATTCGAGGGTAACATGAACTGCAGGAGAAAGTTCAATGACACTATCACCATCAACTGTCGAATAATTCCGTTCTGCGCTACGGGAAAGTGCGTATTTTCATCACTTTGATGGCTATTGTTAATAATTCATAATTAATCAGTAATAATTAATCTCCGAGCAACGATAATTATCAAAAATCGTTAGTTTTATCGAAATGAGTGAAATTCTTGCTATCCTTTGGTCTTCTTTCCGAAGAAAATTCCCTCTGGAAATATTTCCAAAAAGAAATTTCCGGCCATCTCAACAAGCATTAATACGCAGCACAAAAATTAAGAACAAATGAAGCGGAAAAAAACGAAACATCTCAATGTCACTTCACTTCATGCCACAAAAAACAATGAAGAACGAAGACAAAGTCAACTCGTTACCCTCAAACAAAACATCAATTAACAGATTAAAAAATGCACAAAAACATGTCAACACGAATAATGGAATAGGAATAAATGCACACAATAGTAACTCGAGAAAGATTCTTTTAACATTGAATCATTTCCATTTGATGCAATTTAATTGTTTAATTTTTCTCCGCCAGAAGATAAATTTATTTTAATTTTACGAAACATCAGGCTTTTTGTGTTTTTTTCCTCTCGGGGAAATTTACAAACAGAAAATATCGTAAAATTCCTCAACAACTAAATGCAATTGGATTTACAACGTAAACTCCTCTAGTTTTCTGCAAAAAATTTTACAAAACGAAGTGATAAAAAATGAGGAAAAATTTGGAATAGACTTTTGGGCATAAAATTCCTCATAAATAGAATGCAATCCCATTACCAATAATGAATACAATAATTAATAACAAATCGATGATAATTATCATCACTAAAAATCGTTGGTTCTATCGAAACGACTGAAATTCTGGGTAAATTCCCCCAGAAAGCCCTCGCATTACGTTTACGTTCACGACACAATGTACCTCCTGGAGAACATGGGAGTAGCCAGCATAACCCTGGGTCCACATCCACGAGTGAGCCTGCAGTATCCTCACCGGAGGGGCTCGTTCGACGTCAAATCCATCGGCAGCGATATCGGAAGTGAGGAAAATGATTACTATCTTATCTCTAATTTATTATCTCCACTTATCGACTCATTGCGCCTCTGCACCGTCAGCATTATCACCCAAGGGTTACCGCGCTTTCCATTCCATTTTTCGTCTTTTTTTATTAATCACCGGAATCACCGAGGGATTAATTCGCAAAGACTCATGATCCATGATCAACATTGAGTCAACATTTAGTCCCCATTTTAACGAGCCCAAAACTTTTCCGTTTATCGACAGCGCAGAGACGATCGAGCCTTCAAAAATTGAATAATCTACCTCTGGAAGCGCCCATCACCAAAGTAATGCTATTACTTACTAATGCCATGACAGAAATCGCTGGGACAAGTCCCGATTTAGCTATGCAAATCGACAAGGTGAATGAATCCTAAATCCATGATTTAATTCAGTAGCGAAGCGGTAAAAAGAGAAGTCAATTTTGACTATTGATCAGTTTTCAATCAATATCTCGGAATCTAAGGGAGATAGCAAAATTTTTGTTATAACCTTTTTTGTGGAGCCGATTGAGTGCTACAACAAATGTAGTTACGAAAATTTCGCTATCTCCCTTAGATTCGGAAATATTCCTCAAAAACTCAACTGTGTTTACCACTTCACTACTGAATTTATTGTGCGCAAAATAATTTTGTTGATTTTTTATTTGTTGCTTTTGAGAAGGCGATTGAAACCTTGAAGACGACAGAACTGTACAGGCCTTATCTCAAGGAGGACACCAAGATTTATAACGATCCCGTGGCTTCGGATCTCGTGGAGGCACTTTTATCAGTGAGAATGACAAATTACTTGATTTAATACATAGAATTACGTTTGCAAGTCTTTTCCTCTGGAAAATTTCGCGTTGAAAAAAGGAAGAAAACGAAGCGGGGGAGATTTAGATCATATAACGCCGTTCGGTAATGTTCAGTTGAATTTTCCAACTAAATTGCGTGAGAAAGTTCTTCAAAATTCATGTCTCGTTCGGGAGCGAAGCGGTCTTCGAGGAATATCTCCGAGTGTAAGGGAGATAGCGAAATTTTTGTAAGAACCTTTTTTGTAGCTCTCGATTCGCTCTACAAAAAAGATTATACCAAAAATTGTGCTATCTGGCTCAGATTCAGAGGTATTCATTGAAAACCGACGAAAAGTCAAAATTCGATCAGAATGTTAAATCCTGATCTTCGGAATTTCCAGAAAAATTGTCACTACATAAGAGATTCAAGAAGATCGTCGAACGATTCAACCCGAAGTACTCAAATGCGAATAACCCTTCCGGCACCGACAAGACTCCAGTTGAAAAATCCGCAAGGTCCGAAGGAGATCGAAGAACTCCTAGACCGCAGTTTGGACTGGGACTTTGACATTTTCAGCCTCGAAGTTCTGTCGGAGCGAAAGCCCCTCGTGCACCTGGGGATGAACCTCATGGGTCGTTACAATGTCCCGGCGCGTCTCGGTTGCGACGAGCAGACACTGCAGAATTGGCTGACTGTGATAGAGTACAAGTACCATCTTAGCAATAGTTATCACAATTCAACGCACGCCGCGGACGTGCTCCAGGCAACAGCTAGGTTTATGCAGTCCGATCGACTGCAGATGATCCTTGAGCCGATGGACGAAGTCGCTGCGCTGATTGCGGCCGCCGCGCACGATATCGATCATCCCGGCAGGTCAAGGTGATAATTTTATTGGAATTGTTTATTTGTTGTTTGTTTGTTGGGGTTTAACGTGGGTTACGATGTCATGGCAGTACTGAGGGGCTGATCCCCCATGATCCTTATTCTGACCCTTGTGACCCTTAATAATTTCTGGCCCTTAATTAATTTTCTCGTGACCCTTAATTAATTTCGAGTGCCAAATTTCCGTCACCAGAAGTCAATTTCAATTTTTATGATGTAGAGAGATATTAGAGACCCTTATTTTGACCCTTGTGACCCTCATTTCGACCCTCATCTAACCCTTGGACCCTTGCGATTTGCGCATTCGAACATGCGCAATTCTACTTTCTCTCGGTATTTTAACGTTTTATTTCAAACATTCTTAATGGGGTCCTTATATTATTTGACCAAATCAAATAATCCAGAAATAATTCGCCAGCGCCAGGTTGCGAAGAAATTTAATGCAATTGGATTCAGAACATTAGTTCCTTTAGCTTTCTATAAAATCCTTGGAAAACGAAATTATAAAGATACATCAAATTACATTTTGCACAAAATTATTATTTTCTAAAATATTCATAGTTTACAAACAAATAATTGAAATTATATATAAATTCTGAATGTGAATGAATTTTTACGACTCCCAAAACATGATTTATACTGCGCACAATTGATTGTTTATAAATTGTTTACAGAAAATGCTCGTAATTTTCAAAAATTGCATTTTAAAAATTATTTCATCAATCTTCCCCCAAAAGTGAGCTTTCCAATTTTTTTTAAGGCTTTTTAAATGTTTTCTAACGGTTCAATATCGAGATTAATAATATAATTATGGCAAAATGTGTGGAAACTTGGGGTCAAGAAGGGCTCAAATGAACGCATTACTGTTCGACTACAAAAGTAGAAGAGCATTTCACTGGAGAAAAAACTTTAAACCGCGTTACCGCTGCGCTTCGGAACCCCACCGGCTGCTAATGTTTGAGTAAAGTGAGAAACGTTTCTTTTCAGTCAATTCTTATGCAACGCTGATAACAAACTAGCGATATTATACAACGATCTTTCCGTACTTGAGTCTCATCACGCAGCGCTCACGTTCAAACTCACATTAGCGGATGACAGTGTCAACATATTTAAGGTTTGTATCACTGAAAACAGAAGCTCTGAACGTACTCCCCCTAATCCACATGATTTATCGATAGAATTTAGAGAGAGAAACTTACAAACTCATCAGACAGAATGTCGTTGACATGATCCTAGCGACCGAGATGACGAAGCACTTTGAGCATCTCGCTAAATTCGTCAATGTTTGCAGTGCACGCGGTGACGAGGTAAATAGTGGGGTAGCTATAGTGCATGTGCCGCCCATTTGAGGGAAATGAGTATTTTTTCCAGCCTCGCACTCTTCGAGGAGTCACAAACGGTCAGAATGGGTTCTTCGAGGTGTTTACGCGAAGATGTGAAGAGGACAGATTTTTTATCAACATTAAACATATTTAATTCTGTAATTCAATTGCCATCGCCCTGTTGCCAAATATTTGCATAATAAAAGAAAAATTTTGTTTCTCAGACAATCTTGAGAAATACGGGTGGGCGGCACAGGCGTCCGTTTAATTATTTTCTATTTGTGACTGTTATTTATGAATTTGTGGACTTGACGGGGTTATTTTCAGTATTACTCGGATGGCCCAGACATGGCGACGCTGTTGCTGCCGGAGAATGTCACCCTCATAAAAATCATGATGATCAAGTGCGCGGATGTGTCTAATCCTACTAGACCATTGAGGTGCTGCATTGAGTGGGCCAAGAGAATAGCTGAGGAGTACTTCAATCAGGTGAGCCATCATTCTTTTCGGTAGAGGCTCGAAATGGCATTTTCGAAATTGAATATAAAATTTTTTAACTTTTACGAGTTTTTTCATAATCTTTATGGCTCGTTCAATTTTCGTCGAATACATTTTTTCGTCGAATTTAATAAATAATCATTTGCTTCCAATGATTTATACATAATCAGAAAATTGACGGTTCGTTTTACCCTATAAAATGAATAAATTGTTTGATTTTAATAGATGATTTACTTGAAATTAATAAATTCTTCACTTCATATAATTAAATCCTTGTTAATGAAAGAAGTAAGCAAGTTAATTTTTCTCGTAAATGTCAAATGAAGATTTCTGTTTGATTCAAATGAATCCAATTAATGAATTTCTTTGAAAGATAATACGAGATTTTTTTCGTTGAGAAAAAAATATCGTATTAACGGGAGTTTACAAAAACTGTCCATTTTCCCAAATTATTTCAGACTGACGAAGAGAAAAAAAAGCGAATGCCAGTGGTAATGCCAATGTTCGACCGCAACACTTGCTCCATCCCAAAATCTCAAATCGGTTTTGTCGATTACATAATCAACGACATGATCGAAGCATGGGACGGTGAGTATGCACAAGCTCATGTTCAATCGCATTAATCTGCCTGAGTTATCGCCTAAAAAAGTGATTCGTCTTTCCAGCTTTCATCGACGTGCCGGAGATGGTGACCCACATGCGCCAGAATTACGAGATATGGAAGGAGTATCATGTGAGTAAATAATGGATCAAATTGGCAAATTAATGTTGACACGTGTGTTGTGATGAATCGCTGACATTTGCATCAACAGGAAAAGGGAATATCGACTCTGAGTGACATTGAAAGACTACAAACCTCGCCGGAATTGAAGATCCCACGTGCGCGCGATCCACGGTGATGTTTATTTATTGAATCTACGATGAAGTTTAACTGAAAATTTGTAACGCCATCCTTGTAAATTATTTATCTGAATAAAATGTCTATTTTATTCTAACATTTAATTATTTCATGACATTATCTTCTAGGCGTTTATTTAAATAAAATGGGACGGTAGAAAATTGAATGGGTCAATACAAAAGAACGAGTGAAGAATGAATAATGAAAACAAAGGTAACACCAACTTCAAGGAGATGTTCAGATAAAACAGAAACGAATGCAGACCAAATGCAATGCATTCTAAATGGAAAAATGGGCCTTCATAACATGTCCATTGCAATCCACTTTAGTATGCATAATTTTCAAGGATGATAAAGCGTTAAAATTAAAGAATTAAGACAGTATTTTACCCTTGCTTCCTCGTTCAAACATCTCCAAAATCTGGCAACAGTCGAAACAAAAAATCCCCAAGTACTATCACCTCCAGCAATAGCCAATCGACAAAAAATCGATGTTGACATTCATTAAAAATGTCTCGAGTGACAACAATTCTCTGAAACTCTAAAAAATATCCAAACACTTATGGGAAATAATACCACAACAGCGAATCGACAATTGATCCTTCAAAATCCATATTTATTGATGTTTCATTTCCCTCGATCACTGTGAATCATTTCTCAATTACAAATGGTGAGCGAGGTACTACAGTAGTTTAACGAAAAATGCATTCAGAATAAAGACGACAGAGAATTAAATGTGTCAATGCAATAAAACTAGAGATGAATGAATAATAAAAACAAAAGTAGCACTAGCTTCGGAGGAGACGTTCAGATGAAACAGAAACGAACGCACCAATTCACTTTAGTATAATTATTATCAATTATTTACGTATAATTTTCAAAGATGATAAACCAGTTAAAATTAATGAATTAAGAGGGTATTTTATCCTTACTTCCTTGCTGAAACGTCTCCAAAATCTGAGAACAGTCGAAACAAAAAAATTGCCAAGTACTATCACCTCTAGCAATAGTGAATCGACAAAAAATCGAAGTTGACCTTCATTCCCCAGACAAAAGATAAATGTCTCGAGTGACAAAAATTCTCTGAAACTCTAAAAAAATTCCAAACAATTATGGGAAATAATACCACAACAGCGAATCGACAATTGATCCTTCAAAATCCATATTTATTGATGTTTCATTTCCCTCGATCACTATAAATCATTTCTCAATTACAAATGGTGCGTGAAGTACAGTAGTTTAACGAAAAATGTATTCAGATAAATGGCTACGACGTCAGCTATTAAATGGCCAGTGTCAACTCGGCTGAATTATAACTCAGAGGACTACACAACGATCGTCAAACACGTCGCGCCGAATCCTCGGAAATTACAATCACCGAGATGTCCACAGCGTCGCCAGTGGCCGCGGTTACGACTAATTACCTTTACCTTATCATCAGTAAATGACTTGACATCGAGTTACATTCAACGCTCAAATCGTAGTTACCAAGTTACAGACGACTCGTAATAATTTTTCGTGACACCTACGATCTACCAAAACTTATGTATGACAGAATCTAAAGTAGTGGCTGTCAATGACACCAGCCGTTTTATCCAGTACCAGACGTATTGTTCGTAATGCGACGAATAACATTGAGATTTTGGAGAAAAGTAAATGGTTCTCAGGTAAGAACCAGTGTTTAGCAGTTTAACACCACCTTCAGCCTCAAAACCTCTCACTGATTTCTGTTCTCCAGATGTTATGGTTTTAGTTATAATCATTAGATCTCCATTAATTTTGCACTTGAGTTGTCTTCATTATGGTATAAGCGCTCGTAATCTAGGATCCTTAAGTCCCTAATAGAGTAAATCCTTAGTATCTACTAATGCCGCGATTTAAAATCCGATATTCATAATTTCGAGACAATAAGGACATCGTGTTGTTCATAGATCAGTGGCTGTTTGTTCTACTCTGTTGGCGATCGGTTTGCATTGTGCCTGTTTAGTTTAGTGTCATGCTATTGCTACCACACGATGAATTACAGTAATCCATGCCGATGATGCCCTAGATATTTCGTGATTTCATTCTGATCATTTTAATGAATTATCTCGATTTCAATTGTTCCAGCGCGTCTCAAACACGCCGTTAAAATCCAAAATAGTTGCGATTAATTTCAGGTCGAGACAGCGTTTTAAGGTGCCACAATAAATTACAATAAAACATCAAATATCCGTAATACGCGGTGTGTGCGCGAGTGCAAATACGTCAAGAGTGTTTCAATTGGACTTTCTCGCGCGCCCCAAATATAGACATCGCAAAAGATAATGCCGCCCTCCAAATATCTCGTGAATGGTATTCAACAAATATTTTGGCCAAGTGTTTTCAAATATTCATAGTGCTGTGATATCATCGACTGTGTCACCAAAAGTCTCAACAAAATATTGTCTCAGCCGGTCAGTTAAACATTCTGGCGTTGGTGAGTCATCCAACTGCGTCGGGATTCATATTAATAGTATCGCGAATTATTCAGTGCTTTTCGAAAAGCAAAATGCGTGGGATGAGAGACTTCCTGGGAGCCACCAGTGGGCGTCGCGATGCCAAAGCGCCCTATTTAAAGAACCCCATCTCAGTGCTCCGGATTCAGTTGAACCGGTGAAAAGGAAGTACTTCTCATTGAATAGTATCTCGTGGGGAATACTATCGTCGAGTGATTTTAAATGTACGTAGCGATGAGTCTAATCAACTTATCAAAACCAAACTAACACTATGTTAGATATCTTACAGACTAGTTAGTCTTAGCTGAGGTACATCAATCATTATTTGATAATTAATTAAGATACTCTGGAAACCCCAATCCTCCCGATCGTTTCTAAGTCTGTTCTTTCGGTGTATTCACGCGGTATTTGTGGTGTTATTGATTATTGATCATTGCGGTGAGGACGCGACCTCGTGACGCTTTGTGATGGTGATTTTTTTGGGGAGATGTGCTCTCGTAATTTCGGATTTTTCCCATTTCTCTATTTTCAATTGCTATTCATTTGGCTCGACGACATGCAATTCGCGAATGTCCAGGAAATTAATTTCAAAAGAATTTCAGCTCGGGAAAGACGGAATTATTTCAGCAGCAAAGCGGTGGAACGATTCAAGTCGACTTGGCTCTTGGCTGAGTTTTCGAGAGGAATATCTCTGAATCCAAGCGAGACAGCAAAATTTTCGTAATGACCTTTTTTGTAGCACTCAATGTTCTCTACAAAAAATGTCCTATCGAAAATTTTGATATCTGCCGTAGATTCCGAGATATTCATTAAAAACTAACAACAGTCGAAATTGACTTGGATCGTTTTACCGCTTGGCCACTTATTTGGGACCTCCGTTATTCGATGTAACCTGAGATATTGTTTGTTTTCTTTTTGGCCCATAATTTCCGCTCGTTCTTCGTTCACCCCAGAACCCCCGTTAAGGTTTAGACATAATCCTAAACATTATTATCAACGCACATCTAACGATTCCTAACGTTAACTCTTACTCTCGGTAATTCGTCACAGCTTTCACGGAATTAACAACTACTTAAAAATTCAATATCAGGCACGACAAAGGAATTGAGATAAAAATAAAACGACAATTGAAGCTTACGGGTATCAATTCAGGGGGATAATTAATTTACATTAATTTAGCAATCTTGTTCCCATCTACCTTGGTCTATACTATTCATAGAAACCATTTATTTCAGTAATCGGATAGAAAAATAATCGCGAAAAGCTAACTGAGTCGTTGGGGGTGTTAATCATTGATTGATCGATAGATTGTCTCGCGAGATGCCAACCATCTCGATTTCCTTAGTCAATTTACCAATAAAAAAGACTCCAAAGGTTGAAAATTAAATCTGAAACGTAAACTAGGATTGTAAAATCATACCAAACTCATAAATTACTCAATCTCGCTTATTCATATCTCAAGTATTAATCCTAGCTTAACCTATTATTTTTAACTATTAATTGTGCGGTCGCCCGATCGGTCATCAGTTGTCATCCGATCTCAAAATTCTTCGCAATTGTACCGATGCCTCGTCGCAGGTCTTGATGACTTCGCCGAACAGAAAAAAAATGGAAAAAAAACCCCAATCGGTACAACTCCAGACACTTTCTTATCATAACGATATCCGTAGCCCCTAATTTATCCTAGTAATCCCAATGATATAGTCGGTCATCTTAACCTAATAGGACTCAAATGATCTGGACTTAGTGCTGTATGTGCTGGGTCTCGGGGGGAGAGCTGCCTCAAACCTCTACGATTGTATTTCCGAAGATACCATCTCTATCGTCAATTAAACCGTTGTACTTGAATTTCATCTGCTTATTGAATCTTATTCCATTCTCGATTAAATCCAGCGCCGGCAAAACCTATTCCTTAAGCCTAGGGGTGTTCAAATAGCGATTGGAGAGACAGAAGGATTTAGATTTTAATCGCCTCCCGATTGTTCTTGTTACCCTAAATCATTATCCCTATTTTTTTTTCGTTTTCCAATTTTTCTCGACATCACGTAGTTATTTAATTTACGTTAATCAGACTCATCGTGCGCTGTTATCATCTCACTACTGACGTTTACAGAATGTCTATTGTTCCACTAATGTTTCGCGACTGGTGGGAGGAGTTCGATCGTCCAGCATCGAGACTGATCGATCAGCACTTCGGTAGTGGCCTCAGTCGTGACGATTTACTAACGAGTTTCTCATCACTGGGACTCGGCAGATCGCGACCGTTATTCAGTACCCCAGGATACTACAGGCCATGGAGAACACTGGCGAGACAAAATTCCGGCGGTGCGAGCACCATTCAGTGCGACAAAGACAAATTTGAGGTGAGCATTGGGCATTTTTTTTTTCACTCTAACACTGGCCTTTTTTCAATTGCGCTGGTGATTTCAATGTTACTTTGCTTCTTTCTCCTCGCAATTTTGAATACCTGATGATCTTAACAAGCGTTACGTCAAGTGGATCGGTTCACCGATTACCCTAAGATATTATCGAGATTATCATCACAACGTTCAACTGTCGTTATATCTAATGAGTTATGCATAGATATAAGATATGTCTTAATCTATGATTATTATCGCGATAGCATCGAAAATCCTAGCTTAAAGAAGTGGAAACATTCACGGAGACTAAGGAGCTCCTACTTTTTTTTTTTTTTTTTTTTTTTTTTTTTTTTTTTTTTTTTTTTTTTTTTTTTTTTTTTTTTTTTTTTTTTTTTTTTTTTTTTTTTTTTTTTTTTTTTTTTTTTTTTTTTTTTTTTTTTTTTTTTTTTTTTTTTTTTTTTTTTTTTTTTTTTTTTTTTTTTTTTTTTTTTTTTTTTTTTTTTTTTTTTTTTTTTTTTTTTTTTTTTTTTTTTTTTTTTTTTTTTTTTTTTTTTTTTTTTTTTTTTTTTTTTTTTTTTTTTTTTTTTTTTTTTTTTTTTTTTTTTTTTTTTTTTTTTTTTTTTTTTTTTTTTTTTTTTTTTTTTTTTTTTTTTTTTTTTTTTTTTTTTTTTTTTTTTTTTTTTTTTTTTTTTTTTTTTTTTTTTTTTTTTTTTTTTTTTTTTTTTTTTTTTTTTTTTTTTTTTTTTTTTTTTTTTTTTTTTTTTTTTTTTTTTTTTTTTTTTTTTTTTTTTTTTTTTTTTTTTTTTTTTTTTTTTTTTTTTTTTTTTTTTTTTTTTTTTTTTTTTTTTTTTTTTTTTTTTTTTTTTTTTTTTTTTTTTTTTTTTTTTTTTTTTTTTTTTATGTTTCTTAATGAGTAGTGAATGATTACGCGATAATTAACCGTGATTCTTGCTCACTCGATCATGCACATTCTGATGGTCATTCGACGGCACCTCGTGGAATGCCCAATCAATCGATTATTGATTATGTTTCCTAATTAGTGTCTTATCATCAGGAAAAATTGAGTCCTGATTTTATACTGGCCAATGTCGATGGAATTTCCAAAATTTTTCAAATTCAATTTTCAATGTTTTATGGTTCAGATGTTTGAGTTGAATCTCGAGTGCTGGAAGATTTACATTTTCATGCCGTCACATCGCGGGTGACGATTCCTGTTTCTCCCGGAATTCCTCGTCGAGAGCAACTCCAGGAGAACCAGGAACCGTCGATGTTTCAGTTTTTCAGACAATCACTACTCTCCTTCGGTTAAATAATAAGGCACGATTTAAAAAAAAAACGGAGAATGCTACAGTATGGAAGATCGCAATGTTAGTTATTCACTCGTCCCTTCTAATTGTTTTTACGAATGGAAGATATCGCCCTGATAATTGATCCCCGTAAAGCAATAGCGTGAGTGGCATTCAAATAAATCTGGACAACACTCGACTTTTCGGTCCCCCAGTCGAAGCCGAGGGATTGAAAAGCCGAGAATTGCCCGAAGCCGAGCGAAACTAATCAAATTCCAATAATTCCTGAATCAACCAAATAACCAATAAAAAAAACGGGTCCTAAATGAAAAATTAGAAGAGCAACTGAAGAGGAGAGGTAAAGGATTCAAAAAGGAGATAATCTAAACAGCAAAATGACTTTAGTTACGAAAAATCTTCAACAAAATTCGTACAGAAAAGAGGAAAGACGGTGTGGAGATAAAAATCAATCACTTAAAAGCTAATAGTATACCTTGCAAATCGTAGATATAATCCCCGACCCCCGAAAGACGCGAATTAAATTTAAAAAATCCCCGAATACTCGCGATTTCCAAAAATCGCTGACAAATAATCCCTCAAAATTCCTTAGCCCTCAGTTTTGATTTTTTTATAATAAAAATCGTGTCGTGGAAGTACTGAAGTACGACTGGGCGCACTCGATAGTACTTCCACGACACGAGTTTCCCTCAGAAGGTTATTCCCTCAGAATCGGAGCACCTGGTGAGCTTTGCGCTTATTCCAGACTCTAATTAATCGTAATTTGTATTTGTATTTCACGAAAAAACAATTTGTTGATGTTTAGTCGTCTATTGGAAGGAATGATCTATTTTGTTACCTAATAAGTACGGCTTCTCGATTTAATGCGCTGCTTTTATCACTGAAAAATTTTCTTTTTGCTGTTGATTATTTATTCGTCAGGGTAACTGGATAAAACGTCTCACCAACTCAACTCCTCTACCACTCAATGACTTAAATCTATTGTATTCACCTGTAACTCAGCAGTCGATTAACTTTGAGCGCTGATCTATAACTAAGTGTCGTCGACAATACGAGAAAGATGATTTACAAGTAATTTCGATCCTCCAAATCTATCGATTATGAATTCGACGGAACAATTTAATCCCTCAGATCGATGATGACGCGAATCAAATGATTTGGCATTCGTAAACGAAAATTTTTACAATAAAAAAAAAATAATGGCTCGATCCTTCTCACGCTCTCATCGAAAGTGTTTCATTTAAAAAAAAATCGGCGGATCCCTGATCTATTTTACAATTAGTTGATGATACAGTATATTTATGATCGATACATTGTCAGATGATTCGTGAAATTGATGTCTCTAGTCTCTCATTAACGATAAAATCTCTTGCATTTCAGTGGAGCTGACCCCCCCCCTCAGACAGGGGGGCGCTGTGTCTCTCCCAAACTATTGAGTTATACCAACAATTACGAATTTTCGAATACTTTCTTCGGAATGTACAATAATTTCGAAAAGATCTCAAGTGCCTAAGGGAAAATGTAAAATCGTCAGCTTACAAAATCACAGTTGTACCTGCTATTTTTCACAATTGATAACTCTCACTATCTGTTTTTAAATCCAGTACTTTGCTATTTTTTATAAAAAAAAGTTGCTTCTCTTTTCAGGAAATTCAGTCTTCGATAAAAACCCAAAAAGATGTTTAGTGTCTCTCCCCTTTGCAAAATATTGTCAAGCCACACGGTCTGGGGCCGTGTCCAGGGGCCTGGGAGCGCCGGGCACCCCCCTGGGGCCTCGTTCTTATTTTCAACGATAAATATTCCCTCTATTAAACTTCGGCTTGTTAAATACAATATATAGAAAAATAAATGCGTTACAACCCCGACGGCCAACAAACGACGCAACCGAAGGTGTCAACAGCTCTCTCTCTCTTACTCTCTCTCTCTCTCAATCTCCCTCTCCTCTCTACACACGCATTACTGAGTGATTACCTACATGCGGAGTCAGCGAAATCAGGAGTGACAATTCGAAAAGAAAAATAATGAAAAATAATTCCCTCAATTTTCAGTTCTTAACCGATAGTAATCGCTCAGAATGCGCGAGGCCCTCATGTCCCTGTCCTTGATAAACTCGTAATTCTCAATGAAGTGACATGGAGATATGCCCTTCCTCCTTTCAGCATACACTCCGCACAAGTAAATCATCATCAGCTAGTTGTAACGATACGAAATAGATTCACACAAGTCGGTGCACGTCGTAATTACATCTTAGAGTCAATATACTACAGAGAATTATTTGGTAAATGATGCAGGCGCGTGTAATACTAGATGACCTTGATATTCCTCGATTAGTTGAACGTAACCCTGATTTTTTGAAACTCCTGTCGCAACGCCTGCCGCCCTGCGAGCGCCCTCGCAAGACCCAGGAATCTGCCGACTCTCGTGCAGATGTGAAAGATGACTAGATCGATGTAAATTATGTTTACGAAATTTCTCTTATTTGTGGAGAGTAAAAGTACTGGTGATGCAAACGCTAACCTTTTCTACTCAGTATTCAGTTTCTCTTGGTCTCCGGGTGTCTTGGGCGGTGATGTAATGACCCGATGATGATTTTTTTTTTACTCAGGTGATACTCGATGTGCAGCAATTTTCGCCGGATGAGATTCGGGTGAAGACTGTCGATGACAATGTTATCGTCGAGGCCAAGCACGAAGAGAAGAAGGATGAGCACGGGTTTATTAGCCGTCACTTTGTCAGACGTTATTTGCTGCCTGCGACGCACGACCCACTGGGAGTCACCTCGAGCCTCTCCTCCGATGGGGTGCTCACGATTACGGCGACGAGAAAGGTAATTGGTGGACACCGGTCGGGCGGCACCGACAGCGAATTGTCAAGGCCCCGCAGAGCCGAGGGCCCGGGGAAGGCGGATTAGGTGGCTCGATTGTACTGCGGTTTTTTTAATCACGGGGATTGTTATCCTCTTCTCCGTTGTGGGGGCGAGATTGGCCTTTTCATTGGGGGACGAGGCGCTGCTACATCTCGATTGGGATTTTTTGCGCTCTGGGGGACAAACAGTTTCGGTTAGAGGGGGCTCGCTTGGAGTCAGTAGAGACGTGGTGAAACGGGTTTTCGACGGAGGTTTGGGGAGGGAGTTTGACGGGTGGGGTTTAAGGGGCGACAGAATGCCGCTTGGGGAATTTTCATGTCCAAACGGAGATACGTCATTGGAATTCTAGGGAATAATTCTAGAAATCTCGAGGAAATTCAGGGCGTTTAAAAAAAATTCGAGGGAATTTAAGGATTTCCTGGAAAATTTTAAGGAATGCAGGGAGTTTCTAGCAATTTCAAGAGAATTCGGGGAATTTATAGAATTTTCGAGGGAACAAAATGAAATATATTTTTAATCTTCTCTCCAATCTCGAAAAATTAATTTCCTCATGCGACTATGTAACGGTCGTTAAACTAGATGTTGAAATATCTATCAGAAAAAATCTCGCGTTAATTTTTAAAGAATTGATCTAATTATTAACCGGAAAATTCTCTTACGTTTTACCACTTCACTACTGAAAACATTCGTTCGATTTATCGAGTTGTTTCAGTCTTACCTAGAAATAAATCCAGTTCAGTCCTGATATTGAATAATCATCAGATTAGAAATGAAAACCTAACGCCACAGCTGGTACAGTTGTTGATTGAGTACGGATTGTTCAAGCACCAAGCCACGAGGGCGCTCTAGAAACAATGAAAAAATTATCGTTGTAACAAAACCATGCGGAACAGCTCATCCTAAGGAGAATCAGACAGAAATCTCTCCAATTTTTCAGAATATCACCCCAGCGGGTACCGAGAGAATCGTCAACATCGTCAAGACTGGAACCCCAGCGGCTAAACCAGAGGAGCCTAAGCAGCACGTAATTACAACCGAGGAAGAGAAATAATTTCTTCTGAATATTCAATATTCTGTGTGGAACTCCCCCATTTGTATGACAAATATTTCTCACGTTTTTTAGACCTAAAAATGTACAAATACCCTCGACACTGAATAAAAATTGAATATTAATTAGTAATTGAAATGGAATTCTTATTGGAAGAATTTTCTCGCCTTAATAATTCCAATTAATTGTCGATTTGATCGCCTCGTCAGGTCAGGAGAGAATTTAAACTAAGTCATGAACAAAATGAATAATTATGGGAATAAATAGAAATAATTCCTTCCAAATATTCAATATTCTGTGTAGAACCCTTCCAATTTACATAAAAAAAAAATCCTCACGTTTTTTAGGTTTAAAAATTCAAAAATACCCTCAATATTTAATAAAAATTCTGCATTAATTCGTCATTGAAATAGAATTCTCACCGCAAGAATTTTCTCGCCTGAATAATTCCCTGAATTTTCACTCGCCTGAATAATTTTTCATCAGAATAAATAGAAATTATTTCTCCCAAATATTCAATATGCTGTGTGGAGCCACAATTTACGTAAAAAAAAATCGTTTTTCAGGTTTAAAAATTCAAAAATACCCTCGACGTTGAATAAAAAATTCCGCATTACTTCGTAATTGAAGAATTCTCATTCCAAAACCTTTCAACCCACCTCGTTGAGACAGAAGCAGTCATTGCAACAATTAAACCCCCAAAATGGCCAATTGAAATGAAAAAAACCCAAAAATTGAACAATTGAAATAAAAAATACTCACGGTAAACGCTCGCGCTCCGCACTGCGTCGCCGCTTCTACATTGTATCACCGTATTAATAATATACTGTCAATGTACAATATACACGTTGAATGACTAACGTTTAAAGGTGTCGAAATAATGATCTGAACGCTGCAGTGGTTTGTTTACGAATGCGAGATGCCGGCGGTGCCGGCCGCCTTATATAGGCCGCGAGTGGAGGCGCAGCACCTTCCAGAATGTTCCACCCCAGAGCCCTCAAAACAAACTGCGCACATTGTCCACAGCGCAGTAACAACATTAAATTTTATCCCCAAACTCGGCCATAAAATTTTCCCCATTTTTTTCGTCATTTTAAAATCAAAAAAGTGCTCAATCGTCATCGAAATCGCCTGTTTTTAAATAAATTGTGTAACCGGGTGGAGTATTGATTTGGACCGGCGTTGAAGAAGATTCTAGCACGTCCACCATCCCGCCCAGCCCCGGCGGATGCCTCCAACCGTCACGTACACCATATCCACTACAAACACATTTCGCCTTCGTACACTCGCTTTTCCCTGTGTTCGTGGGGCACCTCCTGCCGTCGAAATACGACGTATATAACCGACACCGGCCGGGGAATCAAAACACAAGCTGCCGGGCGAATTCTACGCAGTTACGAAATTTCGCTTTGGTAATATCGGCTCAGGGTGTGAGGGACCAACGGTTTTTCCCAGTTTATTGCGTATTTTTGCACGTCTCGCTAGTTTCAATCGTCGCAGATTGCAATGTCGAGGGCAACTATTTTAATTGATTAAGAGGAGAACTAGTATGAGTTTTTAATGTCGCTGAATGTTGCAGTGACATTTTTCATGCCTTGAAAATCGATTATATTTGTCTGAAAACGAATAATTAATGCGAATAATTGATCAATAATAACAAATAATAATTCAATGTATTATTAAATTATTTTAATTATTTATTATTAAATGAATAATGAATAATTAATAAATAATTAGTCATTGTTTATTGTTCGTTTGCCCCGCAGACGCTTAAAATTTTAAAAATAGTCCAGGACCTCCAATTTTTCAGCTACAGAGGTTTTTTTTTTATTTGTGAAAATATGTATACAATAACTACACAGCTAATTTCGCTTTATTTAATATAAAAATTTGCGCAAAATGAATTCATGCTTCCGTGAACGAATTTGTTTTCTAATTTTACGAGAAAAATGAGGAAATAATTAATTATGAATTATTATTATTATTAATTTATTGATAATGAATTGCTAATATATTAATTAATTCACGAATTAATAAATTAATTTTGGGTCTCACGTGTAACCGATAAATTCAGTAACAAAGTTGTAAACTATTTAACTCGACTCAACTCTCAGCCGAGTTTTCGAGGGATATCTCCGAATCTAAAGAAGATAATAAAATTTTTGCTGATACCTTTCTTGTAGAGCGCATTGAGGGCTACAAAAAAGGTCATGACAAAAATTTTGCCATCTCCCTTAGATTCTGAGATATTTACTGCAAACTGGCCAGTAGTCAAAAACACCTCGCCACGGAATTCTTGGCCTATATTCGCGATGTAAACAAAAACAATTAAGTGGGCACGGGAATGTTTGGGTTCTCTACACCTGTAGAACCCAAACAATTCTTGTGTTTATTATGATCAGGTGCGGCGATGTGTCAACAACCTACATTCGGATGTAAACACAACAAAGTGGGGATTTTTTTTTCATTATTATGAAGCCAATGTCAATATTTTGGATAACACTTGTTCGCTGGGTGACTGATGTCGTCAGCCGGCTTTATTATTGAGAGCAAACGTTCCCGGAACTGAAACGATTGGATCTACTTAGAATAAAATGAATAACACATTCAACTCTATTACGCAAAACTGAATATTAATGTCTTCGGCTTTTATCGCATGAATCATAGCAGTGGCAATGACCCCGTAGGATTATCTCATACAAAAACATGTGTACTAATCCCAATTCCAGATTACATACGCCTGAAATTCATTTAAGAAAAATTTATTTTGCATTTGCGCAGCGAAACGGGGAGACGACTTGATCGACTTCGCTTCCAGCCGAGTTTTCGAGGAATATCTCCGAATCTAAGGGATATATCAAAATTTTCGTAACCACCTTTTTTGTAGAGTAAATTGAGAGCTGCAAAAAAGGTTATGACAAAAATATTGCTATCTGCCTCAGATTTCGAGATATTTTGCGGAAAAGAAGGGTATCTATAATTTTATAACACTTTAGTGAGTGTTCATGGTTTTCTTACTCCCATGGGCTTGGGCCTCTGTCCTAAATGCATTAATAAAAAAAAAGAAAGTATTTATTGAAACCTCAATATCGCTTTAAATTATTTAAAGCGATACTTCGCCACTGAATTTCCTCCAGTAATGATCGAATTGTGTAATATTTTCGCTTTGATGATCGACGATAGCATCAGTAATCCCCATTTCAATTTTCGAGAGCCCCACGAGCCGATGTTTTTATTATTCCCTCGACTCTATGGAACCGGACGGTTGCCATGGGAGGCCTCTCCCTGTTTCCAGAAGGTTCCACCGCCGGGTGCAGCTAAAATCAATAGATTCTACTGCGCCTCAACTTGAAACGTTACAGGGCCATATCCCAACGGTTCCCCAAATATTAGTATTAGGTTACCCAGACCAATAGGTAGACACCGACCAAAATATAGACGATTTCGACTTTTTTTTAGTGTTACAAAAATACTATAAAAAATGTAATAGAAATTGTATCACAAATTTCCATTGTTGATGTCAAAACTAATGGAAAATACGATAATACGATAATTTTCTTATTTTTGTCATTTATTCCTTCATTGTTTCCTTTCAAATAATTACTTTCTCATAATTCATATATTTTTTCAGGTACAGAACCATCAGGTACACCATCGTTGGCGTATTTATGTGATTTATCAATTTTTGATCCCTTGACGGACCTCAAATTGTCCTCAACCGTCAATCGATTGGCTGCCCTAATCGAAGTATTGCAATGATTGATGAAATTCTTCTCAGTGCACTTGAATGCGCGAAAATACAGCATTTAGCGTCTCTCGTTATGTTGTCAATCGCCTCTAGGGGGATATCATTGTAAACAGAGCTATTAATACCTCCTGTGACATAATCATTAGCGACGTGATTGTAATGCCTATTTTTGCGTCTTATATCCATCGCGGAAAAAGGTTATTCTACAACGCGCAGATGCTGCGCTGACGCGTAGTCGAGAATTTTCTGTTGACCCAGGATTATTGATCGCCGCTATTGCTGACCCGGTAACCATTTCTAGACTGTTCCAGCCCGTTTCCAGTGGTATTATCACATTTTGCGTGGGGCGGACTCAAATATAGAAGGGTTTTAAGACCGTTGGAGGATTGAAAGGAGAATTTTCTTGATGAGAAGAAAAGAAAGCGTGAAAAACAGTTGGAAAAGTTGAGCCGAGGAAAAATCAAATTCTATGGACTTTTTTCTTCAAAATATTTCATATCGAACACTTGAATTCACGGAAAAAAAAACTTGAATCAAGTATATTATATACTCGAATCAAAAATAATAAACTTGAATCAAGTATATTTAAAAAAAATTAAAACGCAACATACTTGACTCAAGTATATTTTATACTCAATTCAAGTATATTTTTTCCGCAAATTGTCGAGGCGGCAAGATCAAACCACAAAATACGATAAATTTCACTGCACATAAATAAGAATTGCAACCTTTGACAGTTTGAGATCTCAATTTAATTTTTTTCACGAGAAAGATGAAGACTTTCTCCGCCTCGTCCCCACCACATCGAGAAAGTGTAATTTCTCGACAGAATAAATTTCGATATCATTCAAATGAGTAACTGCTGGAGAGTTTTTATGGTCAACAGCAGAATAGATGATTTATTCCACAAATGCTGTTCACTCTCGCTGTACGAGGTGACCTCATGTATGATAATGAGTTCGGCATGAACAGCTATTGTTTGGGACTCGTCCCCGAATCGTGTCGGATGTACACAAGTCGGCCAGGTGTGAGAGTAATTGCACACCTGGGCCTGGCCGAATCGCCGAAATAGGGGATCTGCACGGGGCAGAGTGGAATGCAATGGATATGCGGGCTTTCCGGTTGGAGCACAAATTTCAAGGTCCCCCTGGTCTATCTGATCAGACTCCCCCTGTTTTGTTGCGCCTTATGTCGTGGAGGCCAAGGCCAAGCAGTGGTACTACCAGTTCTGAAATTTTTGAATAGCCAGGTAGTAACTGCGCAGTAAGTTATTTTCAAGGGAGAGGATGGTAGGGCCTCCCGGAGGCTGTGGAGTCGGTAGAATACCGATGGACAACAAGGTAGTGAAAGCACGGCTGCATGCGGCTGTCGGTAAAGCCCCGAGGATTGACAGCACTTCAAATCCTAGCTCGACGAACTCAACAATCGAGAAGGTAGATTCTGTAGAATCCAGATCAGTTCAGAATCTATATGACAGACTGACAGCAACTTTTCAACAGTGATTATTGTAGCTATAAGTTTTAAAAAGTTTGCGGACTTCATTCTGTAATATGGGATAGGAAAAAAACTTGGGAAATGCATGAAACTTTGGTGGAAACAATCGAGGAGGTAGATTCTATAGAATCTAGATCAGTTCAGAATCTATATGACAGACTGACAGCACCTTCTGAACAGTTTTTCCTAGCTATAAGTTTTAAAAAGTTTGCGGACTTCATTCTGTAATATGGGATGTGGGGGAAAACTTGGGAAATGCATGAAACTGGTGGAGGTAGATTATGAGTTGGTGATTCTATAGCCTGCCCCCCTACACACGTGGATATCGGAACTTTTGAAGGGTGAATTCAGCGCGCATCAATTATCTTATGTCCGGGTTGGGGTGTAGATTGTGCAGCCGTACCCAGAGCCACTTATACTATAGCCTTTTCGGTGGCAGATGGAATGTGAATCTCGATGGCTATAGAATCATCTGTGCTTTGTAGATTCGCTAACAATTGATGAATCCAGATTATCAATTGTCCGTCTCACGTCCCATACTTACCTCTCCTAAAATTCTATAGACATGAATCTACCGTAGATTGATATTTTTTGCTTCGATTATGTGTTTTTAGGGGATTGAGGGAGTCCTTAGAAACATACTCCACTAGGAGTTGTTTGGTTTTTCACACTGAGATCCATATCAGTTGTAACTCTACATGTAGATTATAAATGAAAAAGCTGAACTCCATGATCATGATCCATATTCTTTATATTTCCTCATCATTCATTAAATATCACAGAATTGAGCTGTAATATAAACGTCGAATTCATCGTCTTCTCCGTTGAACACAATTGCTCGTGAATTTTGGCACAAGTTCACATTTGAATTAACATGACTAGCAATGAATAACAATAGAACACACTCATACTTTCACGAGAAATGACTGATTATCCTTACTATTCTATAGAGCCCTGGTCATGGCGAATCTGCGCCCTCTAATTTGTCATGAATAACAGACAGCTCCACGCCCCTGCTGTACGCCGTGTCAGCCTCTTCTTTGGAAGCGCTGAATAACACTTGATAGGTGTAAGTACCTAGGAAGGCTCCTAGAACCGGCCCTATCCAGTAAATCTGTAAACAACAGTTGAACATTTCGTCGTGTTATCAGAAAACTGCGCGTCTTATCGTAGGCAGAGAGTTGCGGAAGTGTTTACCGCGCGTAAACGGTGGGGATTATCTATGATCATGACAATTATTTATCGATTGTGCAGATTACAGCGGGAAATCACAACATTCCCTGGAAAAATGCGGTCTTATCGATTATGCGTAATGAATGTCACCGCTAATCAATGCGACTTTACATTTTTCATGAGCCAACATTAGGAATTATGTTACGCGACAATTCAATGTCTGGGAGCATTTCTTCGTGCTGTTGTGCATTCAGGTCTCGTGAGAACGAATTAGATAATTATTTGACATACCTACTCACCCATTGGTTCTCCCAAGCACCATTAAAGAATGCGGGGGCGAATGTTCTCGCTGGGTTCATACTGCACCCAGTGTATGGGCTCTGTAAACGAAACGACTTGTTCATCATTAATTCTCAGTCGTAAAACGCATTCACGCACTCATTTATCTATTTTAATTAAGGTTTTTATTCGTGTCCTGGGGACAAAGACACCAAAACTATTAAATAAGCGCCAGATAAAAATTCGAATTATGAGTTGAGAAGTGAATAATTATGTGAACAATTATAATGAACAATTATCCAGGATTTTCTCAGGAGAGAATTTACCGCAGCGAAGGAGAGGCCAGCGATCGCCATCCCAAATTTCAGAGCAACAGAATCAGTCGTGTGCGCACACCGCGGATCCCAAGTGGCACACGCCGTGCAGAGGACAATGGCTGTGCACAATATTTCGATCAAGACGGCTTGAATTGTCGTTATTCCGGGATGAACCACGGTAACGCAGAGGGGAACGCTAGAGTCTGGGAAGCCGTCGGTGAATAAGGCCTCGGGTGTGACTATCTGTAATTATTTTTAGTTATTGAGGGGTTGGAAATGTTTTTTTTTATGTGGATACGTTTATGGTTTCATTATGGGGGTCATTTGGGGAAACTGTTCTTATGTGCAGCGCATTCTAGCGGAATTCTAGAACATTGTAGGCCTTTTGAGAGGGTTTGAGAAGTTTCTTGAAATTGCGAAAAAATATAAGGAGTTGTAGAAATTTCGAGGAAATGCAAGGAGTTCCTGGAAATTTCGAGGAAATTCGAGAAATTTTAAATAAATTCGAGGGGATTCAAAAAATTTCTAGAAATTTCGAGGGAATGCAAGGAGTGTCGAGGAAATTCGAGAGAGAAGCAAACACCATAGACGTAACCACACCGAGAAAAAAATTAGTTCTGTCAGGTCAATTTACTTGCCACAAGTAAATGTATACAAATATTTGCATTTAAAATGGGCGGAATTTCTTGTAGTTAGTAAATTTACTTGGCAAAAGTAATTTTTTTTCTCACTGCACGTACAATTACACCTGTGTCAAAAATACAGCCGCCTGCGATTATTTTAAGTACCTTGAGCAGTCCATATCCAATTATTGCGCCAACGAATTGAGCTATCATGTAAACGAGTCCCGTAGCAATTGTCTTTTGCCGGATGATGATGGAGCCTATTGTGACTGCGGGGTTCAGGTGAGCGCCGCTTATGTGTCCTAGCATCTTTTCACGAGGAGAATTAAGACTAAATTAGCGGAGCGATAAAACCGTTCAAGTAGTTTTGAGTACTGCTCAGTTTTCAATGAATATCTCGGAATTTAAGGCAGATAGCAGAATTTTTGTTTCAACCTTTTTTGTAGCTCTCAATTCGCTCTACAAAAAAGGTAATTACGAAAATTTCGCTATTTCTCTTAGGTTCGGCCCTATTCCTCGAAAACTCAGGGGGGAACTGAATCATTGGCTAATGGTGTAAAAAGAATTCTTGCATTCTTGAATGAATAAAGTTTCGAATAAAACTTATGTGGCATTTTACACTGGAAGTTTTTTTTTTTACAATGGAAGTTATCTTCGAATCGCCGATTAATTTTCTGATCTTTTAACTCACCATTATGATCATATTGACAGTCAAACCAAATGTGAAGGCACTTTGCATGGGAGGCGGTGGGGCTCGCCCCAGGGTACCGACGCCTCCCATGCACCCGACGAAGAGTAAGACTCCCGTGCCCACCACTTCCCCTAGGAACATGGTCATCGTTCCCTTCTGCAGTTTCCATAATCCTTCTGAAGAGAAGATGAAAATTAAAAACAGGGCCAGGGGTCCTCGCGAGTTTCCAGGGGTCACGAAAGGTTGACCTTCAATTATGTTGACCCTCAATATGAGGGATACTCATTTACAAAGAAATTAGGTCTCAGAGGGGTGAATGGGTAATTCACGTCAATCAGTTAAAAAATTATCATGTCGAACAGTTTGCTATTCACAATGCAAATGGTATTTCTATTGATCCACAAACATCACCTCTATTGTCCATTCCGACGAATAAATCAAAGCCCGAGATCCCAGGGAGCAGAAATTCCGAGCGATCTTCGCTGAACTGCGCCCCGAAGATGATTACTAGGTGCAAACTACCGATGGGTAGGAATGATCGAAATGATAGAGACACCTTATCTCGAATGCATTGAACGCGAACGATAAACCCCTATCTTCAAACGGAATGATGCCGATTCATTAGCCATCGAGACCTCACGACTATTCCTCATGACATCAGAGTTTATCACTTGCTCGATTAATTTTGCAGTGGATCCAACATCATCAACCATTTTTCATTTTTCAACATTACGATTTCTAACCTTCAGGTTTCTAAAATCTAGAAATTTTTTTCCAAGTTTTAGAAAAAAATCGTTTAAAATTAATGATCAAAAGTGGAATTTATTTTAAAGCAAAATATACTTTAGAAGAAATATTTTCTAAAATCTAGAGAATTTTTTTATTAATTTTCGAGGGGAGATTTTCCAAGAGGGGGCTTCATGTCTGGGGGAATTATACATGGGGGTAGCGATATGGAGGGGCGTGGGGGGG